CCCCTTCCCTCTGTGTACCGTGGGTACATCAGATTACCCCTACCCTCTGTGTACCGTGGGTACATCAGATTACCCCTACCCTCTGTGTACCGTGGGTACATCAGATTACCCTTACCCTCAGTGTCCTGTGGCTACATCAGATTACCCCTATACACAGTGTACTGTGGCTACATCAGATTACCCTAGCCGCAGTGTATTGTGGCTACCTCAGATTACCCCTATCCTCGGTGTATTGTGGCTACATCAGATTACCCCTATCCTCAGTGTATTGTGGCTACATCAGATTACCCCTAGCCTCAGTGAACTGTGGCTACCACAGATAACCCCTATCCTCAGTGTACTGTGGCTACCTCAGATTACCCCTAGCTTCAGTGAACTGTGGCTACCACAGATAACCCCTATCATCAGTGTATTGTGGCTACATCAGATTAACCCTAGCCTCAGTTAACTGTGACTACCTCAGATTACACCTGCATTCATGATGTTGAGGTTAACTTCGATTACCCCTACCCTAAGAGTATAGAAGCTACAGCAGATAAACCCTATCCTAAGTGTACTGTGGCTACCTCAGATAACCCCTTGTCTCAGTGTACTGTGGCTACCACAGATAACCCCTACCCTCAGTGTACTGTGGCTACCTCATATTACCTCTACCCTCAGAGTAATGTGGCTACCTCAGATATCACCTATCTCAATGCAGTGTCGCTAACTCAGGTACCCTCTAATCTCACACTTCAGAAGCTACCTAAGATAACCACTACCCTCAGATTACAGTAGCTACCTCAGATAACCCCTACTCCCGGAGTACAGTACCTACCTTAGATTATCCCCACCCTTAGTGCACTGTGGCTACCTCAGATTATCCCTACCCCAAGAGTAAAGTAGCTACCTCAAATTACCCCTACTCTCGGGGTACAGTAGTTACCTCAGATTATCCCCACCTTACGTGCACTTTTGCTACCTCAAACTATCCCTACCCTCAGCGTACAGAGGTAATCTCCTTTAACCCTTAGCCTCAGAGTACAGTAGCTACGTCAGATCACCCATATTCTCTTTGTACCGTGGATACCTTCGATTACTCCTACCCTCAGAGCACAGTAGCTACCTCAGATTACCCCTTCCCTTTGTGTACCGTAGCTACATCAGATTACCCTTCCCTCTGTGTACCGTAGCTACATCAGATTACCCATTCCCTCTGTGCACCGTAGCTACATCATATCACCCCTACCCTCTGTGTAGCGTAGCAACATCAGATTACCCCTACCCTCTGTGTACCGTAGCTACATCAGATTGACTATTCCCTCTGTGTACCGTGGGTACATCATATTACCCCTACCCTCTGTGTACCGTGGGTACATCAGATTACCCCTACCCTCTGTGTACTGTGGCTACATCAGATTACCCCTACCCTCAGTGTACTGTGGCTACATCAGATTACCCCTATACTCAGTGTACTGTGGCTACATCAGATTACCCCTAGCATCAGTGAACTGTGGCTACCACAGATAACCCCTATCCTTATTGTACTGTGACTACATCAGATTACCCCTATCATCAGTGTACTGGTGCTACCTCAGATTACCCCTATCCTCAGTGTACTGTGGCTACCTCAGATTACCCCTAGCATCAGTGTACTATGGCTACCTTAGATCACCCCTATCTTCAGTGAACTGTGGCTACCTCAGATTACCCCTTCCCTTTGTGTACTGTAGCTTCATCAGATTACCTATTCCCTCTGTTCTATAGCTACATCAGATTACCCATTCCCTCTGTGTACCGTAGCTACATAAGATAACGCATTCCCTCTGTGTAGCGTAGCTTCATCAGATTACCCCTACCCTCTGTGTACCGTGGCTACATCAGATTACCCATTCCCTCTGGGTACCGTGGGTACATCAGATTACCCCTACCCTCTGTGTACCGTGGGTACATCATATTACCCCTACCCGCTGTGTACCGTGGGTACATCAGATTATCCCTACCCTCTGTGTACTGTGGCCACATCAGATAACCCCTACCCTCAGTGTACTGTGGCTAAATCAGATTACCCCTATACTCAATGTACTGTGGCTACATCAGATTACTCCTAGCATCAGTGAACTGTGGCTACCACAGATAACCCCTAGTCGCAGTGTACTGTGGCTACATCAGATTACTTCTAGCCTCAGTGAACTGTGGCTACCACAGATAACCAATATCCTTAGTGTACTGTGGCTACATCAGATTACCCCTATCCTCAGTGTACTGTGGCTACCACTGATAACCCCCTATCCTCAGTGTACTGTTGCTACCACTGATAACCTCTATCCTCAGTGTGTTGTGGCTACCTCAGATTGCCCCTAGTCTAAGCGTACCGTGGCTACCACAGATAACCCCTATCCTCAGTGTATTGTGGCTACATCAGATTACGCCTATCCTCAGTGAACTGTGGCTACCTCAGGTTACACCTGCATTCAGGGTGTTAAAGCTAACTCATTAAACCCCTAACCTAAGAGTACAGAAGCTACAGCAGATAAACCCTATCCTAAGTGTACTGTGGCTACCTCAGACAACCCCTAATCTCAGTGTACTGTGGCTACCACAGATAACCCCTACCCTCAGTGTATTGTGGCTACCTCATATTACCCCTACCCTCAGAGAAATGTGGCTACCTCAGATATTACCTATCTAAATGCAGTGTCCCTAACTCAGGTACCCTCTAGTCCCACACTTCAGAATCGAAGCTACCTAAGATTATACCTTCTCTCAGAGTACAGAAGCTACCTCAGATAAACACTACCCTCAGAGAACAGTAGCTACCTCAGATTACCCCTACTCCCGAATAACAGTTGCTACCTTAGATTATCCCCACCCTTAGTGAACTGTGGCTACTGCTGGTACCTCAGATAACCACAACTCCTCTGTGGCTACTGTTGGTACCTCAGATAACCACAACTCCTCTGTGTACTGTTGGTACCTCAGATAACCACAGCTCCTCTGTGTAGTGTTGGTACCTCAGATAACCAAAACTCCTCTGTGTACTGTTGGCAACTCAGATAACCACAACTCCTCTGTGTAGTGTTGGTACCTCAGATAACCACAACTCATCTGTGTACTGTTGGTACCTCAGATAACCACAACTGATCTGTGTACTGTTGATACCTCCGACAACCACAACTCATCTGTGTACTGTTGGTACCTCAGATAACCACAACTCCTCTGTGTACTGTTGGTACCTCAGAGAACCAAAACTCCTCTGTGTACTGTTGGCACCTCAGATAACCACAACTCCTCTGTGGCTACTGTTGGTACCTCAGATAACCACAACTGCTCTGTGTACTGTTGATACCTCCGACAACCACAACTCCTCTGTGTACTGTTGGGAACTCAGATAACCACAACTCCTCTGTGAACTGTTGGTACCTCAGATAACCACAACTGTTCTGTGTACTGTTGGTACCTCAGATAACGACAACTGATCTGTGTACTGTTGGTACCTCAGATAACCACAACTCCTCTGTCGCTACTGTTGGTAACTCAGATAACCACAACTCCTCTGTGTACTGTTGGTACCTCAGATAACCACAACTGATCTGTGTACTGTTGGTACCTCAGATAACCACAACTCCTCTGTGTAGTGTTGGTACCTCAGATAACCACAACTCCTCTGTGTACTGTGGCTTCCTGATATTACACCCAGCCTGACAAAGCCTGATGTCGTGAGGTAAATATTGAAACATGAAAACTAAAATTGTCGGTATGCTCGTTCCATTGATAAATGTGTTGTTGTTTTTTTGTTAAAAATCCAACATTCATCATCTTCTATATGTGTTCACAGAAATCTTTAAGTGTTTTTACAATTAAAAAATATAGATGTTTTACTCTAAATAAAGGGATTGAAATTTCGTGAACTTTTATTTTTAATGGTTTGTTTTTAATGTTTTATTATAATGGTAACCCTACCCCTTAATTTTAATTAAAATTACTAATTGATATATAAAAGTCTGATGATTAGGGGTTCCGTGTTTTTCTTTCCTGTCGTATTATTTTTTGTGTGTAATTTTCCACCTTTTGTTGGATCAAAAATCAAAAAGGGTATTATATTTAACATCTGAAAATGGGGAGGGGGGGGGGGGGCTATACAAAATGGTTGATTTTTTAGAACATTGTTTTCTTCTTTTTCCTTTTTTTTTTTAAATTTTTCTTTTTCTTTTTTGAATGTGTGGGCTTTTTTAAAAATAGTATAAGGTGCATGTTGTTTGTTTTAAAAATGGATCATATGTTGTACTCATACTTAATATTACTCTTAAGTGTCGATTCTGACTAGATATTCAGTCTTGGCTATAGCCGTTTTCTTAGGATCTGCCTCTTCATTCGATGAATACACGTACTCGATCCTAACGTGCGTTACCCGTGTCATAATAAGTACAGATTAGTTATGAATTGGAATATTCTACTCCCTACCTTGTTATGAGCGTGATCACACAATGATATTTACAGCTGATAATACAGTTTAAATATTCTATGGACTTATCAACACGCAACCATAAACGACCAATGATAAAGCAGTTTCTGTACATCCGCTTTCTTTGAATAAGGTGTTATTGTCAGCCTGTTTACTGTACAACTTGCAATACTGGAGTTTTGACAGAGAAGCCTCAGTCTATTTTAAGACATTAACGGTCATTATCGAATTTCCAACACGTCTATATTTAAAGAACTTTAATTGTGGTTTAGTTTTGCCATCGAGTTACGTATGTCGACATAGTCTGAAAAGATATCGACATTTTGCAGACTTTGTCGATATATAAACGCATTTTCGAGAAAAGTTTCGTAAGATATCTCTTCAGTTCATGATGTTGTCTTACAGTTTGCTTTGAGCTCAGATTTCTTTTTTTATTAAACGAAATGTAGTTTGTTTTCACTTAATCTCATATACAATTTGTTCTCATAACATTGATAAAAGTGTATGTTGAACATGATTATGCATAACTTCCAAACGAGTTTGTTTTAATTTAAAGATAACGAATGCCAAAAGCAGGTTCTCACACCGACCCGACGAAAGCCCGATGCTGTTGAACATGGTAACGATATTTTTGATTTTGTTTGTGCTTGCCTTTATATCTTTGCATCTGAAAAATAATGATGAAAATCATTTCTCTATTACGTATTAAGCACAAATGTATATCACGTACATTTGGCAATATTTGTTTTAAATATTGGCAAGATGTGATCACCAATAATTATTGTAAAAAATTCACACAAAGACTGTGTAATGTATTTTTAGTTAAATTAGCAAAATTTAAGCTTTGCGAATAAAATGTGTAAACTACAACCACGAAAATATCAATTTGGAAAGTTAATTTTTGATTATGATTTATGTATTTAAATGTAGTATTATATCTGGTAATGGTTAATTAATGGACAGGCAAACACGTGTTTACACAATTTTCAATGTTATTAATTTCTGACAAACAAAAACAAATGCGCGTATTGATATGTAGTCATTATTAAACCAATATAAAGCGAACATTTACAAAAACGCGAAAAACGATGTTGTTTTTGAAAAGCTTCATGCTCAAAACCTATAATGTTGCAAAATTAATACCTCAGAGAGGAGTCAGCATATTTTCAATAATTATTGTTTCCTTTGCTAAAACGAAATTGTTTTTAAAGTCAGGTTTTGGAGATAAAGTGACATAAATAAATAAATAAATAAATATATAATATTTGATATAGCGCCCTTAGCTAACATAAGCCACTCTAAGGCGCTTTACAGTACATAGATATACAATTGTATACAATCAATGCAATTAGCATATACATTAATCAATACAATATTGGGGAATTCGCAGGAGCTGCCGTCTCAGGCGCGTTTACACGTTACGTCAAACCTGATTTCTAATTCTGAAGATGAAGTTTCGAGGATAGTTGTACTTGTACTTGGAATAAAAGTGTGAATAATGTTAAAGCCAGCTTATTTATGAAATTTCCAGAGGAAGCAACGAGCAGCCAAGGAAGTCTTGGTTCTGTCAGTGAAAATAAACTTGGTACCTCTCTGAAGTCTACTCCTCGGGAATGTTAGTATCGCAAAGAATCAAACATACAATAATCATCATATAAACAGGCACAAACTCTCACAAAGTAAATGTCATACAAAACAAAACAAAATACTCGTACAGAAAACATGCAAAAAACTAAAAACTCACCGTAAACATCATACATACAATTGCAAACTCACGCAGTTTACATCATACATTGTACATACAATTGCAAACTCACACAGTAAATGCCATACAAATAAATATTACTCACACAGAAAACATCATACAAACAACTACAAACTCGGTCAACATCATACACACAGTGTTAGAATAACTTCAAAAACAATATGTTAGTAGATAAAACAAAACACAACATACGAAACAATATGATATTATTCGGAAATTCACATTTATCCTATCCCTGTGATAAATCTGATTTCATACACTAACAGTTGGTGTAAACCTCTGATAGGATTATTTGGGATCTACCACCCACTTTAAATAAGTTCCTTTAAATAAACTTCCTGGTTGAAATGTTGACATAGGGCGGGTACAATGTGGCTGTTAGGGATTGGCATACATTAGACAATAAATCAGGCTTATATCGACTGGTTGTAAAGCTAAGGATATCATGTCAATCATAAAGTGTACACTGATAATTTCCACTTTTATTTGTGTTGTAGTATTCTTATTCGTCTAAATCTACCTTAAACAGATTTAGTAGGACCCTAATGAAGAAAGATGACTTAATCTCATAACGGTAACGTAATTTTAACGTGACATTGCTGCAGAACCTCATCAATGCGGCACCGTTAATCTGTCTGTTCCTCTTTCACTTATCTGCTTACAATCTGATTCCTCTGTTGGCTCATTAATTTATATATCATGTTTGGTTAATGTAGGAGAAACAACATGGAACTTATGCTGCAGACAAACTTTGGTATAGAAAAATTAACAAAGGACCATATCTCTTTATGTAGTGCGGCACGAGACCCGATTTTAGAATGTGACACTCCTACTTCCCAAGATACATAATTATAGCAAGTTTTGTCAACGTAGAAGAAATAATATAGAAGTTATGCCGTGGACAAACTTTGGTATTAAAAATAAACAAAGGGCCACAACTCTGTATATAGTGGGGCACCAGACCGGATTTCAGTGCGAGAGATTCCGCTTTCTCAAGATACATAAATATGGTAAATTTGGTCAACGTATACGAAATAACATGGAACGTATGCTCCGGCCAAACTTCGGTATTAAAATTAAACACGAGACGTAGTTCCAGTGCATTGCACACCTTCTGTGGGTGATGCAGGCATACCTCAAGTTTTATTAAGATATCTTTGACGGTTTAAAAGTTCTGGCCCGAACAAGTCCGATTAGAAGAACCAGAAGAAGAGCCAGTACTAATACAATATGTCTCCCTTCATTCGAAGGGGCGACATAATAAACCCAGCGCTACTTATGTGTTTAATCCAGCTGATAGACACGGTGCATAATATAGAGCTACGATTTTGTGTTAAAACCTGCTGATAGACATGTTGCAATAAATTCAGAGCAACTGATGTACTAAAACCTATTGATGTACATGTTAAATACAACCTCAATATACGTATGCGTTAAACCTGCTAATACAACAGCTTAGTAACCCTAAAGCAACTGATGTGTTAAAACCTGCTAATACACATGTGAAGTAAACCTAAAGCTACGAAAATGCAATATGCTAAAACTTGCTATATAGATATGTTAAAATGGTAAAACCCGCTTATAGACATGTTAAATAAACCTAAAGCTGCAAAAATGCAATGTGTTTAAACATAAAGCTACAAAAATTCAATGTGTTAAAACTTGCATATAGACATGTTAAATAAACCTAAATCTACTGATGTGTTACAACTTGCTTATAGACATGTTAAATAAACCTAAATCTACTGATGTGTTACAACTTGCTGATAAATATGTTGAATAAACCTAAATCTACTGATGTGTTACAACTTGCTTATACACACGTAAAATAAAACTAAATCTACTGATGTGTTACAACTTGCGTATAGACATGTTAAATAAACCTAAATCTACTGATGTGTTACAACTTGCTTATAGACATGTTAAATAAACCTTAATCTACTGATGTGTTACAACTTGCTGATAAATATGTTGAATAAACCTAAATCTACTGATGTGTTACAACTTGCTTATACACACGTAAAATAAAACTAAATCTACTGATGTGTTACAACTTGCGTATAGACATGTTAAATAAACCTAAATCTACTGATGTGTTACAACTTGCTTATAGACATGTTAAATAAACCTTAATCTACTGATGTGTTACAACTTGCTTATAGACATGTTAAATAAACCTAAATCTACTGATGTGTTACAACTTGCTTATAGACATGTTAAATAAACCTAAATCTACTGATGTGTTACAACTTGCTTATAGACATGTTAAATAAACCTAAATCTACTGATGTGTTACAACTTGCTTATAGACATGTTAAATAAACCTAAATCTACTGATGTGTTACAACTTGCTTATAGACATGTTAAATAAACCTAAATCTACTGATGTGTTACAACTTGCTTATAGACATGTTAAATAAACCTAAATCTACTGATGTGTTACAACTTGCTTATAGACATGTTAAATAAACCTAAATCTACTGATGTGTTACAACTTGCTTATAGACATGTTAAATAAACCTAAATCTACTGATGTGTTACAACTTGCTTATAGACATGTTAAATAAACCTAAATCTACTGATGTGTTACAACTTGCTTATAGACATGTTAAATAAACCTAAATCTACTGATGTGTTACAACTTGCTTATAGACATGTTAAATAAACCTAAATCTACTGATGTGTTACAACTTGCTTATAGACATGTTAAATAAACCTAAATCTACTGATGTGTTACAACTTGCTTATAGACATGTTAAATAAACCTAAATCTACTGATGTGTTACAACTTGCTTATAGACATGTTAAATAAACCTAAATCTACTGATGTGTTACAACTTGCTTATAGACATGTTAAATAAACCTAAATCTACTGATGTGTTACAACTTGCTTATAGACATGTTAAATAAACCTAAATCTACTGATGTGTTACAACTTGCTGATAAATATGTTAAATAAACCTAAATCTACTGATGTGTTACAACTTGCTGATAAATATGTTAAATAAACCCAGAGATGCTTATGTGTTAAAACCTGCTAAGTGTCATGTTAAAACCCCAATTGTTTGGGATTTTTTTAATTTTAATATCCAGATGAAAGAAAAGGGACAGTCAGTATATCTTCTGAAGACGACGGTGAACGCCTAGGCTTAAGTTTAAACATTTAATACTACGCCCAGTCCGAGACACATGTAATGGTTAGGTTTTTAACACGTTTGACCCCTCGTGTTCTGGTGAATGCGGTATCGCCTTCGGCGCCAGGGGCAATTTATTTAGGACCGCTGAATGCGGGGTTAAGAGATGAAAAGTAGTTTTAGTGAGTGAAAAATGCTATTGGCATTTACTGGAGAAATAATAATAATAAGGAAAACGGTATCACTTTGCCCGAGAAAGTATACTCGAGAAATCAAAATAAGAAAAACAATTTTATCAGCATATTTTAACAATTATAATAATAACCAATATTTAAATCATAACACAAATCATTTAGACATATATCTTCACAAATATGGAATATGTAAATGAAACTGGGACAAAGACGTTAAACCAAAAGGACAAAATTACAATTTAATTATCTTTTCAAGATGATGAAACCGTTAGTCCTGAGAGCGAAGGCAGGCGGGCACGTGTTGTCGAGCCAGTGGAGGAGACGTTACAAGAGGAGAGTTCAGTGATAGCGCGGGAAAATGAAGCTGTTCCGGCAAAGGGTGATTATAGTAGGCCTATATGTATTTGTGCGTGTGTGAGTGCGTGCGCCATTTTTTCGACTCATTATAGTGTATATTTCATTGAAACACAATTCAAAAGAAGTCATTGCATTCTTTTTAAATAATTTTACTTTGAATAATGCATCGATGAATACATACAGTAAAAAGTGGCCACGTCGACAATACAGATTGTGAAGAGAAGTATTGTAAACATATAGCAATAAAGAATGTTATTGCTTAGGAAATGCTGGAAATGTACTAAGATCTTTTATTAAATGTATATCATCGACAAACACCCAGCCAGGTCAAACAGCAGAATGCCAGATATTTCATAAATAGCCCGATTTCTGCTGTTTCAAATTTAGGAAAGTGCCAGCACTTTTCATATATTGCAGTATTCCAGCATATTCAAAAATAGCTTTGTATTGGTGGTTTCATAAATAGCAGTTTTCCAGCAGTTTAACAAATAGCAGAGTGCCAGTAGTTTCATAAATAGCACAATTCCTGTTTCGACATATTAGAGACCGCAGCGATTACGTTTGATATCTGATCAGAAAAAAATGAAATGTTATGCACATCCACACCTAGATACCATACTCACGTATGCTAAAAATATGAAAAAGAAGATTATTTAGAAATGCAACAAAAGAAGTAAGAAACTCGTTTGGGGGACACAAATGGTTAAAGCTACACATGGTGAATAGTACTCCCTTTTTTTAAAACATCTTTTTTTATGAACAAAACCAGGATCTGAAGCAATGTATCGGTCACCTACAGAATTGAATCGAAATTTTCAAAAGAAAACATTTTAAAAATGAGAATATATATATACACATGTCTGTCGTATGATGCTTGACTTTTATATCTAATTATGAAATGGCTTTTTATTGGAATATAGTGGGTTAGACATAGACTGAGCATGAATGAATGGAAAGTCATTTGTAATAATTCAAGGTTGGTGGGACAAGGAAGATGTTATAATTGTATATAACAGTCAAGATAAATGTGTGATAAGGTGTGATAAGGTGTAAGGTGTGGTAAGGTGTAATAAGGTGTGATAAGGTGTGATATGGTGTGATAAGGTGTGATAATGTGAAAAGATGTGATAAGGTGATAATGTGTGATATAAGGTGATAAGGTGTGATAAGGTGTAATAAGGTGTGATAAGGTGTGATAAGGTGTGATAAGGTGTAATAAGGTGTGATAAGGTGTGATAAGGTTTGATAAGGTGTGATAAGGTGCATAAATCCAATTAGATGGTTAACAGTGATACGTCTTTTATATATGAGGAAATGTATGCATTGGATATATTCATGGAAATCCATATTGAGAAATGATAAGTAAAGTAGCAGCAAGTGATCCAAGCCAACATGGAGTCTGGACCTGTTAGGGAATGTCAGGGTGCATGTAGCAGAAACATTTATTAAAGTATTGATGGGGGAAGAAATAGAAAAAAAAACCAATTCACAAGGACAAAATACAAATTTTAACTGTTTCTATTGGTCGGTATTTAAACAAATTAAATTCTGACATGCTAAGAGGTACACATGTACTGTATATACGAGCTATTGATGCTCAAAGTATTATATTAAATGGAACGTATGCTCAAAGGATTGATTATACGACGAAATTGTTATAACATAAGTACTTACTTTAGCTGGCCCAAAGTTTTTCATATTATCGAATTTTCACAAACTAGCGCATTGGTGAATTGGCGCACTCAAACTCAAAACATGTGCAAATTTAAAATTTATAAAAAAAACTAGCACAGTCATAATTTAGCACAAAATATGAAGCGCGAGGAGTGCTAAAATTGTAATACCGCTAAAATATGTGCATTTACAGTAGTTCCTGTACATTCTGATAGGAAATATAAAGCTTGTCATAGACTGAAACACGTACGTTTAGAAATACAAAGCGTGTCATCGACTAAAATATGTACATTAACAGTAGTTCCTGTAATTTCTGATTAGAAATATATAGCTTGTCATCGACCAAAATATGTACATTTACAGTAGTTTCTGTAATTTCTAATTAGAAATATAAAGCTGGTCATAGACTAAAATATGTACATTTACAGTAGTTCCTATAACTTCTGATTAGAAATATACAACTTGACATAGACTAAAATATTTACATTAACAGTAGTTCCTGTAATTTCTGATTAGAAATATATAGCTTGTCATAGACTGAAATTCTATGAAACATTTCGCGAAATATTGATTGTGTGAAACACAGTTTATTTAATATCCTTGTTATTTTTTTGTTACATCTCCTGCATTTGTTTCAAGTTAACTGTTAAGATATACATATTGACTTAACGTTACCTTCTCAAACAGGAGACCCGGATGGCAAAGCTTATTGTATCAACCCAGCAGGGTCTGCCAAACCTCCGTTCAACGAGGAACATCAGAACGTGGCTCAAGGTCATGGACGACCAACAGAGGGCTCTGGCGATACCTACAATATCTATGTAGCTAATAGAGAGATCCGACTTAAAGGTAATTTCTACGCGTATTCTGCTAATTGGCTCATCCGGAATTTAATTATGTAGAACTTGTTCCATGATCTTAATGATACGTTGTTATTTTTCTGACTATTTACCATATAATCTGTTATCCATTTGAATTCGATTAATTTGTCTGTGAAAATATATAACGGATCGCAAAAAATATAATTAGTTCGGATATTAGTTTTTATCGTAAATTGAACAGAAGTAATCACTAACAGTTATGTAGTCCTTGAATAAAATACTTGCGGTTCCTGAAAGAGAAAAATAGAGTATATTTGTTTACACCATGAGTATCTTAAATAGATTTCGAAATGCGAATTTTGGAAAAGAAACCTATAAAGTTACGTATGTTTTTTTCTTTGTTTTTTTCTTTCCCTTTCTTTCCTTTTCCTGGGGTATTTGGAATGCCCGTATTGTAGCAAGTTGTATGTAAAAATGTAAAATTGTAATCCAATAGCATCAACATTAGTAACATGAAACTCTACACTGCTTCCTGTGATATAGATGTAACCGATATCGTCATGAATGTTTACAAAGAAAACAAGCACTTGTTTAAAGATTTATCCATTTACTTCACCATATGGCTATCTCGCCCATTTAGGACTTATCAATAGAACTGATTTATTCTTATTTTATAGGTGTTATATCGAAATGCTGTCAAAGCTATCTGAGGGATGACGTAATGTTTGTTAAAGTACCTGCTTACAAAGCTGCCAGAGATCATCTTCTGAAGGACAACATGCTGACCTTGACGGGTACACCTGGTGAAGGCAAGACCTTGTTAGCACGCCACCTTCTACTCGACATGGCCAGGAATGATAACCCAGACATCCGGATGGATGAGGTGATTTTAGCAAGTACACCAGATGACTGGAAGGACCATATCAACCCTAACAAACGCCAGTTCGTCCTGATTGAGGACATATTTGGAATATCCAACCTGTCTAGGTATCGTCTGGATATGTGGCGACCTGTTCTTGACACCATCGCTAGAGTGGTGAGGGAGCAGAAAGGTAAGCTTTGTGTTGTAATCACAAGCAGAAGGCATATACTGGAAGAAGCAAGAGATCTTATCAAGGACTGTCCGTTTCTTTCTGATAAGGATATCATAAACTTGACAGAGTTCCCGTTAAACTCTGATATCAAACGGGAAATTCTTGTTAAACACGTTCAAGACTTGACGGAAGAACAAATTCAAAACATTATTAGTTGCGATGTTCCTCATGGGTTTCCATACTGTTGCAGAATGTTTTCTTTGAACACTCATTTGAGACTAAAAGGTCCAGCTTTCTTTAAAAATCCCGTAGGATACATCAAAGATGAAGTGGATAGCCTTCGACGGACAGATGTGGTAAAGTACTGTGCACTCGTACTGTGCATGCTTAACGATGGGCATATTGAAAGATCGGAACTGGACATAACACAGCTGGACGAAGCGGGGAAGACAAGGCTTCGCAATATTTTGCAGCTGACAGAGATTCCACTCGAGATCTCCACGACAAGTCTAATTGATGCTCTCGATAACCTTACATGTCTTTATTTGATAAACTGTGAGAACACCTACCGTTTCATGCATCCGTGTCTCCTAGAGGTAGTCACCGAGATGTGCTCTAGATATATTCCGGGTGCTATAGTCAAACACTGCAGTCCAAACTTCCTTCATGAACGAGTGCGTATTCGTACCAGGCAAACACGCTGTGGAGAGGGTTATGTGGTTTTACTTGAGCAAAAAGAATTCAAATTTCTGGCAAGTCGATTCTATGAAGAGGTGAAGGCGAAAAGAATTAAAGGTGCTGTTCAACATGAAGCATGCCGAGATGACAATTTCGTGAAGTTCTTTACAGGTTTTCTGGAAAAAGAAAACCTAGGTACAGATATCGTATGCCATTTTGACAGCTCTTCCCGATCTATTCTGTACTGGTGTGCATGGACAGGCAGCTCCCAACTGCTCGCCTATCTTCTACATGGACTTAACCCAGGTGACATACCTACACCGTATATCAATCAGCAAAAGTCTATGTCTCTTGTAGCGGCTTCTTTTTTCGGATTTTCAGACATTGTTCAGACATTACTGCAGTCCGTTACAGAAGTGAACTTCTGTGACTTTATACAAGACAGGAGAATAAATTCCAAGTACAAGAAATTTGGTTTTTCATTGGGCAGATTGATGTACATTTCACCAACACCACTACACGCGGCCGTCTGTGGTGGTTCCAAAACCATCGTTGAGAAGCTTCTGTACTACCAGGCCAATATAAATGCAAAGACAACAGATGGAGATACTCCTCTGCATATTGCTGTTTGTACAGGTAATGTGGACATAGTTGACGTCTTACTAAAGAACGTTCCACGCGCTGACGTGAACGCTGTCGACGTTTACTTGAGAACGCCCTTGCATGTAGCTGCAGGGATATCGGGTATTTTTGACGTCATACCTAAGGAATATGCAATGGAAATGATGACGTGTGTTCGAATCAAGGATCCACATATTAGAAAACAAAACACATTACATATTGCAAAATCACTGATAGAGAATGGAAGCTCCGTGAACTGTCAGGATTACAGCTCAGACACTCCCCTCCATACGGCTTTGACAGACAAGAACTTCCACTTGGCAGAGACACTCATCCCCAACAATGACACCGTGGACATTCACAATGTTTGTGGTGACACATGTCTCCACCTCGCTGCTAAGTTTGGACAGACAAATATCTGTAAATTACTTATTGACCGTAACTCCGACGTTAATTCCGTCCATCAGACCGACAAAACGACACCACTACACCTGGCAGTGGAATCTGGAGAGGCAGAAACAGTAAAGTATCTAGTCGACACGGCCGGCGCGAGTAGGGACGTTCGCAATAAGGAGGAGGAGACACCCCTTGATATTGCAAAGCGTCTTAAGTTCCACGACGGAGTTGCAATATTGGAGATTGAAGCAGATGAAGTGACGTCGTTTTGAATAACTATCAAGAGGTGCAATAATATAGCACAAAACTTATACACTATTCAAATGCATGACGTCATTTTTTTTCTCATGATACTCGACCAAGTCCTAAAATGTTGAGAAATTCCAATATATTGTTTGAGTGGGGTTATCGTCCTCGCAATAGTTTATAGGGACACAGGGAAAGGCTATACAGATCATAAATTAATTCTTTTTGTGACAATCTGCTACATTTTAGTTTATTGATATTGACAAACAAATGCAATACATCTGTATTCCTCATTCCTGTATTTCACTTAATTGGGGAAGTGTTATATATTGAGGAATACTGATTTTTTACGGATTTTAAACAAATAATTTAATTATATGTTGTTCGGCTAGCCTTCAATTATTTATCCCGACATTTTCAAAGGGTTTAGATATTCTTACAATTCAATTATCTCCCCTCGACAACCATAATAAGGTAAAGTTTAGAAATCTTGGGATTAACATAAATAATATTTGCTAAAGTTGAAGTTTCTAACGTTTCGTTTGTTGTGTTGCAACAGATAACTTGTGTGTTATAGGAAGCTGTTTATGTATTTTTTGTAAATCAGATACGCTATCGTGTAAGTAGTGTACACGTTAACATTATACCAGTTCTTTAACTCCTTAGAGGATAACGCCTTACACGAGAACAAGTCCGTTTCAGATTTGTATCTGTAGTTTATTTAATTTCAAGTTCTAGATAAAAAGATATTTTACCGACAAAACATCTTCAATATCATCTGAATGTGACATTAAAGAATGTATATGTCCTTTAAAAAATCACCTTGGCAACTATATTTTATCAAGTCTTATTATATTTCTTTGAACTTTTTTAAGACATTATATCTTAGCTATCATTAATAAAATCAAAAGAAAATTAAATTTATTTATTTTACCACTCACTTATGTTATAAATATCGTGCTCTCTATTATAATCAACCTTTATGTTAAGGGAGGCGTTACTTTTCCCGTTCAATCGGTTCGCCCGTGTTTGTGAGCGTTAGAAATCGTCTTTCCCTTTGTTATGATGTCCAATTTCCCGCTGTTGTTTTCGGGTAGTTTTCGTGTTCATTAGCTGGTAATGGAGCGCATCAATATAGGTGTTCATGACAGTTGAAATAATTATTTATTATGTACTTTGTATTCTTTATCACTGGTTAAGATGCAGCGCAACATACAATTGGAATTAATTTATCTTAGCTACACACAATCCGTGCCAAACTTAGTGTACCGCACAAGAATGCTTCCATTAATAGCGTGTACAATTCATTGTTTAGCATGCATGCTACTACTTACTTACTTCATACTCTTTGTCCCGTATGGGACATAAGGCATCAACAATGCGTCTCAATTTGTGTCTGTGGTTGGCAGCGTGTTGTGCCTCGCCCCATGAAAGTCCCATCTCTTTCAATTTCTATTTGATGGTGCTTCTCCATGTTGTCTTTGGACGCCCACGTTTTCTTTTCCTATGTGGTGTCCATTTCAGTGCAAATTTGGGGGTCATGACTGGTCCACTCCGAGAACGTGGCCTAGCCATCTCATTCGGCGCCGCTGGATTTTAATGGTGGCGTCCTGGCTGTTGGTTGTTCTGTGAACAGAAGATGCGACAGGTTCTCTTGGGGCCAATATTGTCGAGGACACTGTATGATAGAAGTGTTCTATAAAGACCCTGTTAAGATATCATCCTTTTCTTGTAATATCCACAGTATATTTACAATAATTTGTGGACTAGTAGATGATGCGTCGTCCATTCCTTGCTTCACATTTATTCCAAATACAATTGTGTAGTTTAATCTGTCATGATTGAATCTATTTTCTCCGTGTTTTAAATAGTTATCTTTCTGTGTCTGAATTAATAGAACGGTCTATTGCTGAACTGAAGGAGGTCTTTCGCCGATTTTGTTTTTAAGTTCACACAGCACGAATATTCCGTACTAGTAATCGACAAGAGATATCATGACTACCTGTGTATCGCTATTGCGTTATAATATTGCCAGTTGATATTTACACTGTGGCATTATTCTTTATTTATTACTTAGTATAGGATAAGGCATGTCCGCGTTTTAACTCTTCAAACTAATCGCAGTGTGGAAGTTTTCGAGTTTACAATAGTTCTGAAATCTGAATATATTATCAAGCTGTACAATATGATCTTAATTTCTTCGTATTTGGATTGTGAATATTTTCGCGCTTATTTACTCTTCGCGAAAAAGCGAGCGTTTCCACACCGCTATAATTTCTAGTTCTATACTATCTACATCGATTTACTTGACCAAACTTCATTTTTTTAAATGGGGTTCAATGTATTCTATTGGGTTTATAAATATCATAGTTATAGTCAATTGGAAAATACGACTAAAGGTCGAGTGTGATCTGAAGCATTTTACATGACAGCTGTCTCCTCTTCGTTATGCGTGTATTATTGTTTCTTTTTATTGGAATTACTATTTGTTCATTTTTTCTTACATTTAAAATATCCATTTAAGAAAAAGTTGTATTTGAAGACAAACTGAAACGCTTCAAAAATCTGTGACTGGCTCATAATGAAAACATAATGTCGTATAATGTTACTAGTGTTTTCCCCCTCCCTAGATGGCCTAGTCTGCATAATCAGGACAGATTGGATATAAAATATAGGAAAATTAATTTACAGATATAGTTATATGATGATCATAGGTTTTAATCTATTACAAAGAAGAATATCTGAATTCACAATTTCATCAGTAAAACAAGCAGATGGTCCCCAATCAAATAGAAGATGTCCTCATCTTCCACTGGCTCCCATTTACATTCACGTACACCTGTTCAAACGAGTATTAACGTTCTAGCAACATCACTTTTATCAACACTTTTAAAATGAAGGACTGGTAGTGCATAAGTCCGTTTTTTTTAAATTTCAAATAATCTTAAATCAGTCAAAACTTAAATGCTTGGCAAGATGCCACTTGTATGGTATTATTCTATAGAAAATTCAAGACAGTGACAATAAAATATTTTAACCCGATGCCCTCCTTACCATAAGCTCAAACCCAGTTTTAGGTACTCATGTGTTGGTGATATTAGATTCGAAATAACTTTTGTTTATTTATATGAAGATTGCATTGAGTGACTATTGTATGACGAAATGTGTGATATCATTTATGTATAGAAAATTGATGTTTACTAAACTCAATGCATACTGTTTCCTATCTAATGTTTTGATATCTTCTGATGAACATGTTTACAATACCAGCACATGTATTGTAACTCTCCTGATAGCACACTTGTAACTTTATCAAATCCAGCCAACCAATCACAGAATATTAATATCCCTAAGGCTAATCATAGTTTGATCTGTTCAGACTACAATGAAAACTACTAGACTGATTTCAACACCTACATTTAAATAAGACCCCCATTATTGCAGTATGACATCGTCACTTTACACATGACACATGTTCATATTTCTACAGTAATGGTCAGTGTATAAAGAGAAAAGAAAACTTTAACAAACTTTTCAGTCCTATTTACATTCCTGTAAATCACAAATGTCCAAGTCCACATGGAATTTTCACTCACAATACCAATACTCCAGTTTCACAGCCATCTTCAAGGGCCGTAGTCAATACTGAATATAGATATCGTCCAATCATATTAATGATACCTATAGATAGACTTGCACATTAAGGAGGCTATCAGGCTGAAGTGTTGGTATTGTCAGTGACAGTGGTGTTACCATTCATCCTTTTCCCTGTGGACATCACTTGTTGTATACTGGTGATATCTTTTACTTGCCATTTAATATTGAGTTCAATCAAATACAATGTATACAAAAACAGATTACAAGGTATGTATGACATCAATATGACGTAATACTTGTTTATTTAGATATACATTTACATACAAATAGATAGACCAAGTTACTATAATGTACATTAAAAAACAGCTTCTTACTGTCAATACATCTGTCTTCAATGTAAATATGAAATTGTAAAATTCCATTAACATCACACTATAAAGAGTCCATACACTCATATACACACAAAACAACTAAATCATTAATGGCAATGTCCAACATTGGTAAATTAATTCATTTGTAGAGAAATTTCAATTTCTTTCATCACTTCTCACATTATTTGTACCTGTGATAATCAGATCAGCTGTATTGGCTTCACTTGTTTACCATGTAGTGTTATCAAGTTCTACATATTTAGCCAGCAGTGCTTCAATGACCTATGACCTTTTCTTCCGTGCATCAACAAAACAAGACACACAATCTCCCTACTAAGCCAGTAGCACTCGTTATAACACACAGATAGATATTTTGGTATCTCATGCTAAACATTGTGACCTTTTGAAGATTCACACACATTCCATTCTAAATGAGTTTTCATTTCATGTCAGATTTATATAACAAGTCTAAATGATTTAAGGGAGGTTCTGTTGAGCTGAAAAGAAAATCTACTGGACCAGTTTCATATATCTAATTTGAAATACATACAATCTCACGATCCTTTTCATTGCATTACTAAGAATCTGTAAGAATCTGTCCTGATTGTTTTCTCTGACCAGTGTTATGTCTAGATCTCCACTATCACCACTTTGACCTCATGTCTATTGTCTACAGCGCTACATCACAATGTCATCATGTTGTGTCGATTGTCATAACTTTTACATCACAACAACAGGTAATACATAAGAAATAGTACATGTGTTTAACGTATAACATGGCATGCAGTCATGTAATTAATGCGCACATTCAGTACCTCTTAAATATTTATCAAAAACTTTGCATCAGACTGGTTTGCTTATCGTAGTTTTTCTACTCTCAGTTAGCCTTTGCTTCAAAAGTGTACAGCCTATATAGCTTGCCGACATACTGTCTAAAGGTAGGTAATCCAGTCTAACACTGCATTTGAACATTGAAATCACATTGTTCCCTGTTATTACAACATATACCAGTTCTTCTATGAGGAATACTTGGTCTGTGGGTATACACAGCTAAACATGCTAAGAACATGGCTACTGTGCTGTTTTACTTAAAATAGGAAAATTGAACTTGGTAGTAAATTATGATAATATATTGCAAACAGATATTATAATTAAACATGATTCTGATTTCTGTAGCCAACTATCCGATCGTTTATAAAATGAGCTACTCATAAGTATGATTTATACTCTTACAAGAAAAACAATGTGATTTACATATTGCAAAGTTTAGGTGAACAGTTGTTTAATACGACATCATTTCTGGATCTATACAGGGATTAACTACATGTCTGAAAAATAATGTTTCATAGAATAGACAAACTGCATGTTCTTGTACAAAATTTGTCATGCAATGATTAAAATGCAGCAGAATCTCAAACGTGATAAAGTCATCAAAAGATATTTTAAAAATACCATTATGCTTTGAAACTGATAAAATGAGTATGTTAGCTCGTGTATGTTACAGCTGTCATTTATGTTAGAGTTATCTCCCTTAAAATTTGCAATATGTTGCACTCTTTTTAAAAATGTTTAGAAGTATGCTGCATTATCTGATCATAATAAAACAGAAATGTTTTTTCCTTTTAATTTCACAAAGTAAAAAGACAGTGAATTCAAAGCAGGCAAAAACCATAAAATGCAGATGTCAGCATCAGTATATAAAAACATGACCAGGAAAAAGGCCGGAAGCCAATATGGTCCATATTACAGTTTTAGAGTGTGATATATGTATTCATTCAACAACACTAGTGTGTCCATTTAACTAATTCCACAACTACTTGTACTTACCTATAATCTTGCTTAAAATCATGTGTGTGTGCAAGAATTTCATTTGCTGAAGGGGAACAACAAACATCGTATTAATCGGTTGGTGTTTATCTGTTTGCAACATATTTTCAAATTTGAAAAAAAGTAATATATAGTTTGTGAAATATAGGAATTGTAATTATCAGTATTATATAATATATAATAGGGCTACATCTTTGATTCCTGTCATATTTCACATTAAAAAGATTTTCAATGAGTTTATGTCTTGATTTGTACTTTGTTTTCCCAATTTGGTATAATAATGTTTTCGGTAAAAAAAAAACACAACAGGGGAAGTAACTCTGTAAACAGGAACATGTCTTTTCATTGTACAGACCTAAAATATACTTCAGCTGATAATCAACAGAAGATGACAATGATGGCTGAATGTGTAACAACCATCACTACATAAGCTCACTATGAATAGATTGGTATTATTTAATACCCGGTGAGTTTTTTATACATTGATTATTCAGTCATGCTATATCAGCATGTTGACGACCTAGGAATACACGACAGAGATAAAGCCCTCCCTATATTTCTACAATTAAAACTCTAGTCTGTTTCAAATGCGTTTCTTCAAATACAGTGCATTTTAAATTTAAAAAAACACTCAAGAAAATTGTTCAATTTCACACATTTTCACATTTCTTCTTCATTTACATTTTTCACATAAATCAAAGTCAAAAGACTGTCTTAATGATCATTTCTATTCAAAGTGAGGTACGTGTATTTATCTCTGGAGGATATAAATATCCTGATACTTATGCTTTTTGAACATGGACTGGTTTTCACTAAACAAAACTTCAATTATTGGCTGCTATTCTAAAACACCTTGATAACAACTGCATGGTTTATAAAGTATTATATGATGCTTGGAATCTACATCCAAAACATTTCCTTATCCTTCCAAAACCAAACAAATATCCAACATGATCTAGTTTCATTCATGGTGGCATTACTATTCAATTTAACACATGATTTTATAACTTTTTAACTTGTCTTCGTGTATTGTCTTGGTAAAAAATCATAATACACAAATATTGTCACACGAAGAAATAAATAAATCAAATGATTTGCTTTTGTTCTTTCTTTGTATTAATTACATTTGCCCAATCATTACACACACATATCAAATATAAAAGAGAATGTTATTATGAGTTGCGGTAACTGCCTTACTGGTTATAAATAAGTATACCTAGGCAATTAGAAAACTGGGCTATTTAGAACAAAGTTGGGATCTCGGGGGAACAAAAATATTATTTTCAATATTAAAATGAGGATGAAATTCCTATTCATTTAAATATTTCAACAACAATATCATTTTTTGTTCAGAAATGGAAAAAAAATAAACAAGTTATAATTTCAATAACATGATTCCCCCAACCTGAAATATAAATATAAACCCTTTACATTGTGTGTATCCTTATGTTCAACTCGTCTAATTTTTGAAGAACAATGACTTTTGTTAAGATGAAAATATATTCATCATGAAGCAGTGTGGATGAAAAAAACCCATTGTCCTTAGAAATCGGTTTAATATTGACAAAGTATTCAATATTTACAACATATACATGTATATAAAACCATGTTTTGAGGTTTTGATAAGGAAAAAATAGCTCTTTTCAGATTTGGACTTCAGTTTCAACTCTTTCATGATCTCAGTGCCAACTGGGTTATATCAAAATAATCTCAAATCAACATCATGACATACACATTTGGTGGTGGAAACCAAATTTAAAGCTGATGAATGAGCTTGAATTAGCCATTATGTGTATATATATATATATATTTATTGCTTCTGTATCATACATTGTGTTGAGTGAAGACTAATAGACATGAGGAGATGGCAGATTGCATTAATTAAATCTCAATCATACTATGGACATTGATGAATGTTAAATATACTGACAGTACTTACACAAACTGATCCAAATTATGGGAAAATATACAAAAGATGTTGGAAATTGTCAAAGAAAATATGAATTTCCGGAATGTTTGTTTCATTTTTTAAACCAAATATATCCCTGAGATTCCAAACTGGACCTAACCGACTGTCCATGTACTCTTTTGTCTACCAAAATGACATGCACAAAAACAAGTCCACTCAATTCTGTTGGTGAAATATGCAATTCCTGAGCTTGATGCACTAAATTTGAAATGTTCATGAAATATCTACTGAACTTGATTACAAAGGGTTTCAATACTCCTAACAGTAGAGCTAGTCTAGTCTATAATACTGTAGTAAGAAGCTACATGTTAAATGAATGTTAGTTATAAGGTTAGCCTGCACCGGTTAGTGAAATCTACAATCAGACGAACAGTATGCAAAAAAAAGTCCATATAGCAGCTTGACAAAGTGTAGACTACGTTCAATATTGTCACGTACGACAGCTCATCAACTTAGGGGGAGTCGACCTGCTCCCCGAGCATACAGAGAAGTCGGCTCGGCCACTCTACAATGCATGTTCACAACAATACAACTGTCCCCATAAAGTACAGGTAGATATCCTGTTACAATATAACAAAAGAAGAATAAGTCTGTGTAAAAGGCTTATAGAGACTGTGCCACTGTTTTTATTTTCATTATTACAGATCAATTTATTTAAACCACAAATGTTGTTCTATTTCGAGAGAATTGAAAGGTATATCTCCATTGTTGCCTAGTCTCCCTAGTTAGGAAGGAGACCTCTATTTATTCTGCCATTTTTTACAGTTGAAATCAGCAGAATATCTAATTCCCTTCATCTGATTGTTTGCTTAAATTCAATAACTGCACAAAGCAACTTAAACTCTGGCATTTTACACTAAATGTAAAATTGAGGTCATTTAAGTCACTGTCAAAAAAATTCATTTTATATTCTGCTATAGTTTCTCTCCGTTATAAATTTGAAAGGTTAGCAAGTATGCCCCTTGTTTGAATTATCTTATACATTTTTTTATCTAGTTATTAAATTACTGATCCAAACATGAAGAACTTTTTTTTGCTTGTATCTTTCCCATTACTGATCCAAACATGAAGAACTTTTTTTTGCTTGTATCTTTCCCAAACAGTTATCTATTTTTCAGTTTTTTTATGACTTAAAATTGTGCCAATGATATGTTTAGAAAAGGAGATACTATGCCCGTTCATAAAAGAGATGCACAATCCAAAAGGACTGGCCTGTTCAGAAATATTAGCATGGTCAACAGGGTGAAGCAACACAAACATGTTCCGAGTGAAAAGGCATCTGTTTAAAAGTGAGGTTTGATTCTGTGTAACTATATAATAAATGCTAATTAGTAAAAGGAACACTGGACACTGTTTACAGGTTTGATTACATGCAGTGTTAATTCATAAATTTGCAGAATCACCCTACCATGAAATTACAGAATAAAAGTCATTCAGTAAGCAATTCTTGATTAATTATACCAGAAGGATCAACACTATGACAGCACATCATGTACATTTACTAGGGGTGTCACAATACGCCATGAGTGTATCACAATATATTGCAATACAAAATGAATATATTGCGATTCTTATCCAGATATATATTGTCATAGGAAGGATGTGCTTAATTTTATAATAAGTTGTTGTCAGAATGTTATCAACCTTAATCAAATGTAATAAGGATTACATAGATTTAAGATTTTTGTCAAACCAACCATCGATTATAAAATTTGAACTATTAAAAGCCTGCTTTATGCTTATTGGCATATCTGTTAGAATTTATAGTAATTTGCAAAGTTAAAACACCAAGCAGATACATAAAAATATGCTTTTGTATATCTCATCTCTGTATTGTACGATACGATATACCCGCGCATTGCAATATACCTGTTTTCCGATATATTGTGACAGCCCTAACATTTACTGAAGTTATTTTCTTACATGAGTCCCACATGAGGTGTTTTACTTCCCTTGTAACTCGAGTAAAGAATTGATACACAACTGCATGAATATGAAGTGGCCAAAGTCAAGGGAGGTAACTTGTGCATTTCAGGGTGTACAATTCCACTTGCCCGACACCAGCTACTGGATATAACATCAGGGTGAAAGAATTTTCAAATATTTAATATTTACTTTGAATGGAGCCAATCTTTTATTTTTCATTAGCGTGTGGGTTACTACTCAAGATACGGAATTGTTCACCCCTGCCTCTACACCACATGATGGACACACCCTACAAGTTCTACACGGACAAGTGTTCACTCACATTCTCTCATCCACACAACAGTTCAGCCTTAAAAGTCTATGAAGCACTACTGGTCCTATCTAGCAGTATACACATGTTGTGCACATGTGGTTTTGTGTTTAGTTTTTCACTTGTATGTCATGTTGTTTACATGTGCCGACTTATGGTACATGTTGATGGATTAGGCACATGTGTTGATATAGCATTTACTACTGTATACTTCACATGTGCTGATGGTGATATGCTACACACCTGTATTAAGGCTTAAGTGCCGACAAAGTGACTCCAAAATGAATGGAACCAAAGTGTCAATATGACTGTTCTCAGTATGGTCAGTCCAATTCATTCATATGCTTGTCACAACACAAGTCACATTCACTGAGATGCTAGTCAGAATACAATTAGTTATAAATCCTACTAAAACGTGTGGTAGTGTGTCATCCATCCAGCGGAGGACCGAGGTACACCATCGACACCTCCGTGTTTCCGTAAACAGCAGACACGGACGGGTACAGTGGAGTGTTCGGCAAACCTCGAAATGCAACCCCTGTAACACAAAACATGAACTAGCAATTAAAATCTGTGAGAGACATAATAATATAATAACACAAAACATGAACAAACAATTAAAACTATGAGAGACATAATTACACAAAACATAAACAATTAAAATCTATGAGAGACATAATAATATAATAACACAAAACATGAACAAACAATTAAAATTATGAGAGACATAATCTTAAAACGTAACACAAAACATAAACAAACAATTAAAATCTGTGAGAGACATAATAATATAATAACACAAAACATGAACAAACAATTAAAATCTGTGAGAGACATCATATTATAACGTAACACAAAACATAAACATACAATTAAAATCTGTGAGAGACATAATAATAGCCAGAGGGCCTGTATCGCTCACCTAGATATCTTAACAATCATGGCAAAATATTCCCCAAATTAAAAGAGAAGGGTATTAATAGGCCCAACCTCAAGGCCAATCCTTGTAGCATATTTGTATTGGATTTTTCATGCCCATCAATTTTATGTATGGTTATGGGGTGGGGATCTGATCACTGTTTCCAACTTGTGACTCAGAAAACTAGGTCTCTAGGGTTGTGACCAGACCCTAGGGTCAATTCTAATATCATGATTGCATTCCTCTCTTTATGCCCAGCATTTGTATATCTAGTTTTGGGGTGGGGATCTCAATTGTTTCAAAGGTATGACCCAGGAGTTAAGTCTGTAAGGGTGGGGCAGACCCTGGGGTCAATTCTAATATCATGACTGCATTTGTCTCTTTATGCCCAACAATTGGGTATATAGTTTTGGGGTGGGGATCTCAGCGGTTTCTAAGTAATGACCAGGGGCCATCCTGGAAGCATACAGCTGTATATGCATGTGCATTCATCTCTTTATACTCAGCAATTGGATATATGGTTATAGGGTGGGGATCTCAACTGTTTCCAAGCTATGACTCAGTAACTAGGTCCCTAGGGGTTCGTTCAGACCCCAGGGTGTATTCTTATATCAGGACTGCATTCGTCTCTTTATGCCCAGCTTTTTTATATATAGTTTTAGGGTTGGGATCTCAACCGTTTCAAAGTTATGACGCAGGGAGTTTGTCTCCAAGGATCGGGCCAGACCCCATGACCATCCTGGAAGCATATGTGCATTCTTCTCTTTATACTCAGCAATTGTATATATGGTTATACGGTGGGGAACTCAACCATTTCCAAGTTATAAACTTTTATTGGCCTTACCCTTAGCCCGGGGGGTCAGCCCCACCATATGTACAATTTTGAATCCCCACTACCTAGGGATGCTTCCAGTCAAATATGGTTGATGTCCATATCTTAGTTCCAGAAGTCGCTTAAAACAATATAGCCAAATAACCCTTTTTGGCCCCGCCCCTAAGCCCCCTGGGGGGATAAGCCACACCATTTGTACAATGTTGAATCCCTGCCTCCCATGAATGCTTTTGATCAAATATGATTGATATCCAGTGCATAGTTCTACAGAAGAAGTCGTTTGTCGCAATATAGCCCCCTTTTGGCCTGCCCCTCAGCCCCCTGGGGGGTCAGCCCAACCAATAGTACAGTTTTAAATATTTATTATCTAGGGATGCTTCCAGTCAGATATGATTGATATCCATCTCTTAGTTCCAGAGAAGTCGCTTAAAGCAATATAGACAAATTGCCCCTTTTGGCCCCGCCCCTCACCCCCTTGGGAGGTCAACCCCACCGTTTGTACAATTTTGAATCTCCACTACCTAGGGATGCTTCCAGTCAAATATGGTTGATATCCATCTCTTAGTTCCAGAGAAGAAGTCGCTTAAAGCAATATAGCAAAATTGTCCCCTTTTGACCCCGCCCCTTTACCCCCTGGGGGGTCAGACCCAACATTTGTACAATTTCGAATCCCCAACCCCTAGGGATGCTTCCAAAAAAAAAAAATCTATGAGAGACATAATTACACAAAACATGAACAAACAATTAAAATCTTTGAGAGACATAATAATATAATAACAGAAAACATGAACAAATAATTAAAACTATGAGAGACATAATAATATAATAACATAAAACATGAACAAACAATTAAAATCTGTGAGAGACATAATAATATAATCTATCACCTCCTTGTGGGTGGGATAGGGGGATCTCAACCTGAAGAGGAAGATTCATAATCTGCCAAACATGCGGCTTTGTCAAGTGTTTTGCAACATAAGAATCTTTCCCCCCTGAGTGTTTAGAATCCCCTATCTCACCCTCAAGGGGGTTGAATCATTCTTTTACTGTTACCCTGATGACCCATTGTGTATCGTATACATAATATAATGATAACGTTACAGGCTAAATGCAGGGTTGATGTGACGTAAACTCACTTGGCAACTTATATATAAGGATCTTCCCCCTCAGGTTGAGATTCCCCCATCTGATCTCACCCCCAAGGGGTGAGAAATTCTATTAGTCTCACCCAAGGGTGGAAAAAGCTTAGACAAAAACATATCAACAGGTTGAGGTACCTGTTCAGAAATTATATATGAAAAGTTGTGCAGGAAAAATAATAACAAGTATGCTATCTTTCATTTTCACCATCTCAAACTGTAGTGATTGAAGAAAATGAAGGTTTTCTCAAAGCTGAGATTTAGCATTTAATTGGGTTTGTTTGGGATTTTCTGAAATAAACATTTGAAGTACATTACAATTAAACTTTCCCATACAACAGAGTCCTGTACAATAGGGGCTCGGCCTTAAAACCTCAGTTCAGGTAAATACATTACCAGGACTACAAGTTTATACTTACCTAAAAATTCATAATTTTTCTCAAAAGCTAGCGTATTATCATCACAATCTAATATAACTCGTATTCGTTCCCCAACCTGAAAACATACAAGATGCAAAATATATATTGTCATGAAATTAATTGTTTATAGGATTTTTGTTTGTTCTGCAATTCAAAAGATCATGCAACAATTTATTTAAAGTAGATACTGGTATGGTTATAACCTGTTGTAGCTGTACTTTTTTCATACTATTTTGATAAGGGATGTACAAATTCTGATTTAGAGTACTAGCCTTAAGGCACATTTTGGAAATTTCCACTTGGAATGGACATATGAAGCATAATTCTTTAAAAAAAACAAACTGTTTCCAAAAAGTTTATTTTGGCCTAAAGTATCAAAAATAATGGCAACAAAATTACTAACATACCAAAATACTAAGATGTATGAAAAACAAAAGTATTTCTACATGAGGATGAAATGTATTTGAGAATGTTTCTGAAAAAAAATTAGAATGATGAACAAACGATGAGTATAATACAGTGGTTTCCAGTTCTTCATCTCCACTAGAGATTGAAAAATTGACACCAGATTTCCTGTTTGTAAAATTAATGTACCACAGAGCTAAATGTCCATGCCCTATAGCTGTTTCCTAGTTTGTCAATCTACCACAGAGCTAAATGTCAATACCCTTTAGCTGTTTCCTAGTTTGTTAATCTACCACAGAGCTAAATGTCAATACCCTTTAGCTGTTTCCTAGTTTGTTAGTGTACCACAGAGCTAAATGTCAATGCCCTCTATCTGTTTCCTAGTTTGTCAATCAACCACAGAGCTAAATGTCAATGCCCTTTAGCTGTTTCCTAGCTAGTTGGTCAGTGTACCACAGAGCTAAATGTCAATGCCCTCTAGCTGTTTCCTAGTTTGTCAGTGTACCACAGAGCTAAATGTCACTGCCCTCTATCCGTTTTCTAGTTTGTCAATCTACCACAGAGCTAAATGTCAATGCCCTCTAGCTGTTTCCTAGTTTGTCAGTGTACCACAGAACTAAATGTCCATGCCCTCTAGCTGATTCCTAGTTTTTCAGAGTAACACAGAGCTAAATGTCAATGCCCTTTATCTGTTTCCTAGTTTGTCAATGTACCACAGAGCTAAATGTCAATGCCCTCTAGCTGTTTCCTAGGTTGTCAGTGAACCATTATTCATAATTAAATAATTAAAATCAGGTACAGAGGCTAATTAAGGTGATACAAATATAATTAATACCCAAAATGGAATACCAAACCATCATTTTATTCCTTCATTGAAAATTCAGAGAATGATTTATATTCATTTATAGTTATACTAAGTTTATAGTAAGATTATTTTTATTTTTAGGTGTTCTTATAAATTTATGAAAAACTAGATTTTGAAATTGGTGGGAGTGATGGGCATGTGAATTGGAAGAATCAAGTGAAGAGTTTATATACTGCAAGTCTCGCGTTATGTAGGTCAGCGGTGACGGTAGAGGTCACAGTGATCTACATATGGCACGCGACACACCGTCTTCTATGAATGTACCTACAAACCAAGATTCATAACCGTAGGTGAATTAGTACGCGAGATATGCTCTGGAAATCTTTCTGACAACATTATGTAGGTCAGAGTGACCTACATATGGTACGCGTCACACCGCCTTCCATGCTTGTACCCAAAAACCAAGATTCATAACCGTAGGTGAAATAGTAGGAGAGATATGCTCTGGAAACCTTTCTGACGACATGATGTAGGTCAGAGTGACCTACATATGGTACGCGTCACACCGCCTTCCATACTTGTACCCAAAAACCAAGATTCATAACCGTAGGTGAAATAGTACGGGAGATATGCTCTGGAAACCTTTTGGACGAACGGACGAAGCAAACTCTATACACCCCCTACTTCGTCGAAGCGGGGGTATACAAAAAAAAAACAGTCCCATGGCTCGTATGATCATGAGATGTTCATTTAACAAGCTCTGAAACCACCAATTTGCAGTTCCATTTTTGCAAATATGCCAGTTCCGAAATCAAACCACAGCTTGAATTTTGCGATATCTTCAAATAATTACAAATCTTTGCCTGTTTTTCAAGAATAATCATGACCTCTGCAATCTGTATGAGTACTACTTATATTCTATAGACTATAGTCATTGTTTCTTTGGTCCAAAACAAAAGGCATTGCCCTTACACTCATTGTTTTTTAATATGACTATTTTTTGAGTTTGAAATACATCTTTTGATGTTATATATCTTAAACTCGTAAATTAATCATCTGTAGGCAAGAAATGCTGCATGGCTAAATGGGCCACATACAGTCAAACCTCGTTATCTCAAACTCTTTTAACTCGAAGACCCCGTTTATCTAAACCCTGTTGAGTATTTCTCCGGTTCCGGCAAAGTCTCTTCTTTATCTTAGTAACTAAAACTCTAAATAATGTTGATCAACAGTATTCTGTACTTACTGCGAGTATGATTAATGATTTGTACAACCAAACAGACAGTCCAGATCGGAAAATTGGTCTCAAACAAAGCGTGGTCATGCATAAAAGAGTTCCACAGTTAAAATCACAACATAAAACAGCTTCACAGGTTCATGTTTTTACAGGAGCCAGTATGGCTTTGAAATTTGATCGAGAGATTTAAGAACAATACGATAATTGGTGTTGATTATATCGAGTTGAGGTGTCAGGTGTCACATTTAGCTTTAATGAATTAACGTGTTACATGTACGATATAATAGGTTTGGGTGTGTTTTCATTTCCAGAATCAACTATGCGTAACACTCCATTACAGTGATTTGTTTTAGACTTGCGCACTTTCATTTCCACATTGTATAGTAAATGGACGAAGACAGCTTGATAGTTCGATTTTTAAATGTAACACATCAGAAGTCAAACTTAACGGACTGCAGACCTGGAAAGACTTTGCCAAGTTCTAGACTAGCCAAAAACAACATTTAATGATCACTAAGCCCTTCCACAACACAGTATAGTGATAATCAGCCCCGAGGATACCGATTGTCTGGCTGTGCACTCGGGTAACGAACTCACAATATGGTCCAACTGTTCTGATCGCGTGAAACGAAAGTAAGTTTTTCGGAAATAACTTACTCAGCAGTATTTTTGTAAGCATGTTTATTGTAAAATTTCATACCTGTATTTGTTATATTTATTACGTATATCATTCATCGATTGATTATAAGCATTGGTTATTAATCAAGTCAACAACTGTTAGTGCTATGTCCAGCGGCATTTCATACCAAATTTATGAACGCGCATAACTCGAATACTCGGATAAGTTTTCCTACGACCCTGTCGACTTCGAGATAACGAGGTTCGACTGTATATATATATATGCTTTCTTACAGGAACTGTCGACAAATTTCAAGTGTCGAAAGTTTTGTTCTGGGAAGAGTGATCTGGTTTGGGTACTGATCCAATCTGGGTCCTCACTCCTTAGGCACATTGCAACAACCAATGAACCATACTGTACCCGAAATACACGATTCAAGTTACAATGCTATAAACAGTTGTTGGGAGTAACTACCTGGTATTTAGGGGCATTGTTTAACGTTGGATAATTTCCTTGGTTATCTCCATTGTGAATGAGATGATTGTCTACAAGGTTCCATCCCCAGCTCTGATCATCGCTGCCTAGTAGACTCACGTAGCCCTGACACTGAATGGGAGAGCTTTTGGTTGCTAGACCTATCACAGCGACTGTTCCCAGAGGCCCTTCCCACCAGATCTCCCAACAGTGTCGACCGGCTCGGAACCCTATCTTACCCCGTGAACCGTCCGTACTTTGTGCTACAGGGTTCCGATGCACTGTGAATCCATTTTGTTTTACATACATATTCCTCGAACAGTCATTTGGATTCCACGCATGGTAAAATGCCCGTAATTTCGCTTTGTATGTGGGGACATTTTTAAGAACGTCCGATTTCAATGCTTCTTCTGCGAGTTTTCGCACACAATTGAATCGCCATACATCGTTGTTCTCATCATTTAGATATTTGTACCAATTCTTACACACTAGAGCACAATTCCGTAAATCAGATATGTCTATATAAGAAAACAATGCTTCCAATACTTGCGGTGGAAGTTTAGCAGCAGCCATATTATTACGGTGTGACAGGGTCAACTCGCGCGAGAGCGAATGTGATTCTACGAGATTCAATATGTCAGCGCCCATCGTCGGAACTGGTAGTTATAGATAGCGTGTAAGTTAGGGTTTATGGGATCACGTCATGTCGTATACCTACTATAGCACTGATTTGCACGTTTAAGCTTGATTGTAGTTAGATATTTTCTAATGCTAAGCGCGTCAATTGATTGCTTGCCTAAGTGGTATCGTTTGACAGTTAGATCTGGACCGTTTTCGTCCATGGGTAGGACCACAGGGACCTGATAATTTGTTACAGCTATATTTAGACCTAAACTAAGGTGTTCACAATAATTTTACATAATTAATGTGTTAATATCGACATTCGGTAAAAATGACACCACCCAATGATCATATATTTGAGAAGGGAGGAAAGCTTTCGATGTCGAAATGTCGACCCCACCTAACTTTCTTGCATCAAAAACAACATTTCTAGTTGATCTACAGGAAAATGCTTAGTACCGTTGGAAAGATGGATAATTTTTCTTTTGCAAACATGCTATATGCACGTAAAATGTATTCTCCTTCCGCGCACATGGACTCAATTTCCTCCAAAAGGAATTTGCAAGTCCTTAGTTAACGTGCTGGTAGCGGGTTAGTGAATATGTTAAGCTACCTCTACACGTCTGCAACTATATATCAGGAATTTTAATTGTACAGAACTTTGATTTTTAAATCAACACACTAAAAGCGTTAGTGTGAACTTTTAACTTTAAAAACTTGTCACCAACAAATATGCGCATACCATAAAGTATAGTTGACAACAAGATCCATACAATAAATTGTAGGACAGTCTCACAAGTCGAAGACTTACAACGACTGGGAGAACAGTGCGAACAATGCGAAAAACACACACCATTTCAGAGTTTCAAAGTTTTTCGTAGTAAGCCTGCCACTTTTTCGAATATTTATGAGGTTGAGGTCAGCGCATGCTGAACCATGCGGTGTTGGTTGGTTTAGCGAAAAAATGGCTGCAATTCCAGCAAAACACACCACGGGTCTCGGCATGCGGCTGATGGATCACTTTTTGCAAAAATACTTTTAAATATAACAATGATGTAAGCTTAGAATAGATAGCCATGCACCTTTTTTTGTCTACAGATGATTAGTTTTTAAGTTCAAATAGCACCAGAAAATGTCATTCAAACTCAAAAGTCAGTGTTTTGTTTCGTTTTTAGAAAATGGTGTGTGCGATGGCTATATATGCATTCTGTTTTGTACAACAGGAATAAATTCACCCTATTAAAAATACTTGTTTTCATATAAATTCCAAAGGTCATCATAAAATGTCAATATGCTGACAAAAAAATTTGAACTTGAAGAAGTGTAAGATACTGCAAAATTCAAGCCTTGATCCGATTTAGGTCCTGACATTCCCGAAAACCGGAAACGCTGACTAGGTGATGTCAAAGCGTTCTAAAAATATTTCTCATGAGCCACGGGGTTAATCTTTTTTTGTAAGAACACCCATCGATATTCTTCCTTTGATACAACCATAAATTAATATAATTCATCCTCAGAATTTTCAATGAATGAATCAAATGATGGTTTGGTTCGATTTGGGTACTGTCACCTTAGGAGTAAAAATAAAGATTCCACAACTCAGCCCCCTAAAAGATAGCCGCTACATGTATGTGGCTGGAATAGGAATTATATCAAACTGGAGCAATTGCAAATACATACATACTTTCCAACCCTCCCTATTTAGGATGGAGACTCCCGATTTTGGACCCTTAAATGTAGTAATTTGCTTAACTGCTCCTATTTTCTAAGATCTAATGATTATTTCATCTGGTGGAACAACTCTATGATGTCTTTTTAAAGGGTTATTTTGTCCCTAGGGGGTGAATTCACACATTTTATTAATGTTTTCATTTTGAGCATACAGGATCTCCCCCATGGAAATTTAAAAAAGTTGGCAAGATCTATGTAAATGCATGGCCATACCTGGATTCAAACCCGGGACCACCCGAACTAAAGACGGAGGCCAATTCAGAGCTGTCTGGTCGCTGACGATCAACAAAGGCCTTTTTCTAGGTCTTTATGCCCTTCAAAACACATCTATTTACAACCCAGTTTTGGGTATCCTCAAGTCTTCACTGTGTGTTTGAAGCAAGAGTTATCAAGTTTACCAATTTTATAACAGCGAGGAAAAATGCACATCCAGTCCAGGATTTGAAGCCAGGACCCTCTAAACGATAGGTGGACACTCTACCAATTGAGCTGCCTGGTCGCAGATGGTTGACCCAGTCAGTTCCGCTACATATGTATTGATCTGTTGCCCTCGTAGCAACAGCAGAACACCAGGGATTTCTATCATTTCTTTTCTCGTCTACCTTCTATTTCTTTTCAGTAGATGCTCCTCATATCCAATAATCCCTATATGATTCATGTGACAGCAGGCTGCTGTAAGGACCTTAAGTTTAAGCCAAGTAATGAAAAATATTAAAAATTATATTAATGTAGTCATGTGTGCAATATCATTCAAACTGGTTATAGGCAGTGCAGTTTCGTTACTGCAAAATATTATTCTTTTTATGGTAATTTTTTTAAATGGTTTCAATCTGCACGGTAGTCTAGCGGTAGGACACTGGGCTCGTGACCGAAGGGTTGCGGGTTTGAGTCACATCACGGCACTGTGTTGTATCTGTGAGCAAGATACTTTACTCCGCTTGTTCCAGTCTACGCGGCTGTAAATGAGTGCGTGGTTGGGCAGTGCTAGAATTGTTGAATGCTAGCTGTTAGTGCCGAAATGGCATCTCCGGCTGTATACTCCCCATGGACTTGAGAAAGGTATTGGCCAGTTGCAAAGGCCCTATAACCACAGATAATAATTTGTGAACTGCTTTGAGATGACCTACGAACTAGGTTGTGATAAAGCGGTATATAAGAACCTCAAATTATTATCATTATTATTATTACATGTATATTTACAGGAGGATATATATCCTGTATGAGTTATTACAGGAGGATATATATATCCTGTATGAGTTATTACAGGAGGATATATATCCCGTATGAGTTATTACAGGACGATATATATCCTGTATGAGTTATTACAGGACGCTATATATCCCATATGAGTTATTACAGGGCGATATATATCCCGTATGAGTTATTACAGGACGATATATATCCCGTATGAGTTATTACAGGACAATATATATCCCGTATGAGTTATTACAGGACGATATATATCCTGTATGAGTTATTACAGGACAATATATATCCTGTATGAGTTATTACAGGACGATATATATCCTGTATGAGTTATTTGTATAACATTCTGCTTCTTAATATGTTGTAGATTGGACATTGGACAGCCATGTGATAAGGGGAATTCTACAGTTAATATTTCATGAAAAAAAAGAGGCAGAATCCTGAAGGAAAATGGCAGCTTTCTGTCAAAAATGTTTAGTATCAAGGCACTTAAAATCAAAACTTGTCTTCCAAGGCCGTGGTTTGTTGTGTCAGAAGAAATGTTTGTCATCGTTGACTACAAAGAGGCAGCTATCAACATTGTCAGCTCCTCTTGCTGCGGCCTTCAATACCAAGCCAGCCTACAAGCTCAACTTTAACTTCGGAGTGGGATGTGTAAGTGTGATTCAAAAACATTTAAGTGACACTAATGTGGTGTGGGAGAAGAAATTTCTAAAATGCTCAAACAGTTTTCTGAAGTAGAACTGGAAATGTTGGAATCAGGATACATCCTCGTCCATTGTTGGGGTGGAAGGCTATCACATTTGTTACATCCTCGTCCATTGTTGGGGTGGAAGGCTATCACATTTGTTACATCCTCGTCCATTGTTGGGGTGGAAGGCTATCACATTTGTTACATCCTCGTCCATTGTTGGGGTGGAAGGCTATCACATTTGTTACATCCTCGTCCATTGTTGGGGTGGAAGGCTATCACATTTGTTACATCCTCGTCCATTGTTGGGGTGGAAGGCTATCACATTTGTTACATCCTCGTCCATTGTTGGGGTGGAAGGCTATCACATTTGTTACATCCTCGTCCATTGTTGGGGTGGAAGGCTATCACATTTGTTACATCCTCGTCCATTGTTGGGGTGGAAGGCTATCACATTTGTTACATCCTCGTCCATTGTTGGGGTGGAAGGCTATCACATTTGTTACATCCTCGTCCATTGTTGGGGTGGAAGGCTATCACATTTGTTACATCCTCGTCCATTGTTGGGGTGGAAGGCTATCACATTTGTTACATCCTCGTCCATTGTTGGGGTGGAAGGCTATCACATTTGTTACATCCTCGTCCATTGTTGGGGTGGAAGGCTATCACATTTGTTACATCCTCGTCCATTGTTGGGGTGGAAGGCTATCACATTTGTTACATCCTCGTCCATTGTTGGGGTGGAAGGCTATCACATTTGTTACATCCTCGTCCATTGTTGGGGTGGAAGGCTATCACATTTGTTACATCCTCGTCCATTGTTGGGGTGGAAGGCTATCACATTTGTTACATCCTCGTCCATTGTTGGGGTGGAAGGCTATCACATTTGTTACATCCTCGTCCATTGTTGGGGTGGAAGGCTATCACATTTGTTACATCCTCGTCCATTGTTGGGGTGGAAGGCTATCACATTTGTTACATCCTCGTCCATTGTTGGGGTGGAAGGCTATCACATTTGTTACATCCTCGTCCATTGTTGGGGTGGAAGGCTATCACATTTGTTACATCCTCGTCCATTGTTGGGGTGGAAGGCTATCACATTTGTTACATCCTCGTCCATTGTTGGGGTGGAAGGCTATCACATTTGTTACATCCTCGTCCATTGTTGGGGTGGAAGGCTATCACATTTGTTACATCCTCGTCCATTGTTGGGGTGGAAGGCTATCACATTTGTTACATCCTCGTCCATTGTTGGGGTGGAAGGCTATCACATTTGTTACATCCTCGTCCATTGTTGGGGTGGAAGGCTATCACATTTGTTACATCCTCGTCCATTGTTGGGGTGGAAGGCTATCACATTTGTTACATCCTCGTCCATTGTTGGGGTGGAAGGCTATCACATTTGTTACATCCTCGTCCATTGTTGGGGTGGAAGGCTATCACATTTGTTACATCCTCGTCCATTGTTGGGGTGGAAGGCTATCACATTTGTTACATCCTCGTCCATTGTTGGGGTGGAAGGCTATCACATTTGTTACATCCTCGTCCATTGTTGGGGTGGAAGGCTATCACATTTGTTACATCCTCGTCCATTGTTGGGGTGGAAGGCTATCACATTTGTTACATCCTCGTCCATTGTTGGGGTGGAAGGCTATCACATTTGTTACATCCTCGTCCATTGTTGGGGTGGAAGGCTATCACATTTGTTACATCCTCGTCCATTGTTGGGGTGGAAGGCTATCACATTTGTTACATCCTCGTCCATTGTTGGGGTGGAAGGCTATCACATTTGTTACATCCTCGTCCATTGTTGGGGTGGAAGGCTATCACATTTGTTACATCCTCGTCCATTGTTGGGGTGGAAGGCTATCACATTTGTTACATCCTCGTCCATTGTTGGGGTGGAAGGCTATCACATTTGTTACATCCTCGTCCATTGTTGGGGTGGAAGGCTATCACATTTGTTACATCCTCGTCCATTGTTGGGGTGGAAGGCTATCACATTTGTTACATCCTCGTCCATTGTTGGGGTGGAAGGCTATCACATTTGTTACATCCTCGTCCATTGTTGGGGTGGAAGGCTATCACATTTGTTACATCCTCGTCCATTGTTGGGGTGGAAGGCTATCACATTTGTTACATCCTCGTCCATTGTTGGGGTGGAAGGCTATCACATTTGTTACATCCTCGTCCATTGTTGGGGTGGAAGGCTATCACATTTGTTACATCCTCGTCCATTGTTGGGGTGGAAGGCTATCACATTTGTTACATCCTCGTCCATTGTTGGGGTGGAAGGCTATCACATTTGTTACATCCTCGTCCATTGTTGGGGTGGAAGGCTATCACATTTGTTACATCCTCGTCCATTGTTGGGGTGGAAGGCTATCACATTTGTTACATCCTCGTCCATTGTTGGGGTGGAAGGCTATCACATTTGTTACATCCTCGTCCATTGTTGGGGTGGAAGGCTATCACATTTGTTACATCCTCGTCCATTGTTGGGGTGGAAGGCTATCACATTTGTTACATCCTCGTCCATTGTTGGGGTGGAAGGCTATCACATTTGTTACATCCTCGTCCATTGTTGGGGTGGAAGGCTATCACATTTGTTACATCCTCGTCCATTGTTGGGGTGGAAGGCTATCACATTTGTTACATCCTCGTCCATTGTTGGGGTGGAAGGCTATCACATTTGTTACATCCTCGTCCATTGTTGGGGTGGAAGGCTATCACATTTGTTACATCCTCGTCCATTGTTGGGGTGGAAGGCTATCACATTTGTTACATCCTCGTCCATTGTTGGGGTGGAAGGCTATCACATTTGTTACATCCTCGTCCATTGTTGGGGTGGAAGGCTATCACATTTGTTACATCCTCGTCCATTGTTGGGGTGGAAGGCTATCACATTTGTTACATCCTCGTCCATTGTTGGGGTGGAAGGCTATCACATTTGTTACATCCTCGTCCATTGTTGGGGTGGAAGGCTATCACATTTGTTACATCCTCGTCCATTGTTGGGGTGGAAGGCTATCACATTTGTTACATCCTCGTCCATTGTTGGGGTGGAAGGCTATCACATTTGTTACATCCTCGTCCATTGTTGGGGTGGAAGGCTATCACATTTGTTACATCCTCGTCCATTGTTGGGGTGGAAGGCTATCACATTTGTTACATCCTCGTCCATTGTTGGGGTGGAAGGCTATCACATTTGTTACATCCTCGTCCATTGTTGGGGTGGAAGGCTATCACATTTGTTACATCCTCGTCCATTGTTGGGGTGGAAGGCTATCACATTTGTTACATCCTCGTCCATTGTTGGGGTGGAAGGCTATCACATTTGTTACATCCTCGTCCATTGTTGGGGTGGAAGGCTATCACATTTGTTACATCCTCGTCCATTGTTGGGGTGGAAGGCTATCACATTTGTTACATCCTCGTCCATTGTTGGGGTGGAAGGCTATCACATTTGTTACATCCTCGTCCATTGTTGGGGTGGAAGGCTATCACATTTGTTACATCCTCGTCCATTGTTGGGGTGGAAGGCTATCACATTTGTTACATCCTCGTCCATTGTTGGGGTGGAAGGCTATCACATTTGTTACATCCTCGTCCATTGTTGGGGTGGAAGGCTATCACATTTGTTACATCCTCGTCCATTGTTGGGGTGGAAGGCTATCACATTTGTTACATCCTCGTCCATTGTTGGGGTGGAAGGCTATCACATTTGTTACATCCTCGTCCATTGTTGGGGTGGAAGGCTATCACATTTGTTACATCCTCGTCCATTGTTGGGGTGGAAGGCTATCACATTTGTTACATCCTCGTCCATTGTTGGGGTGGAAGGCTATCACATTTGTTACATCCTCGTCCATTGTTGGGGTGGAAGGCTATCACATTTGTTACATCCTCGTCCATTGTTGGGGTGGAAGGCTATCACATTTGTTACATCCTCGTCCATTGTTGGGGTGGAAGGCTATCACATTTGTTACATCCTCGTCCATTGTTGGGGTGGAAGGCTATCACATTTGTTACATCCTCGTCCATTGTTGGGGTGGAAGGCTATCACATTTGTTACATCCTCGTCCATTGTTGGGGTGGAAGGCTATCACATTTGTTACATCCTCGTCCATTGTTGGGGTGGAAGGCTATCACATTTGTTACATCCTCGTCCATTGTTGGGGTGGAAGGCTATCACATTTGTTACATCCTCGTCCATTGTTGGGGTGGAAGGCTATCACATTTGTTACATCCTCGTCCATTGTTGGGGTGGAAGGCTATCACATTTGTTACATCCTCGTCCATTGTTGGGGTGGAAGGCTATCACATTTGTTACATCCTCGTCCATTGTTGGGGTGGAAGGCTATCACATTTGTTACATCCTCGTCCATTGTTGGGGTGGAAGGCTATCACATTTGTTACATCCTCGTCCATTGTTGGGGTGGAAGGCTATCACATTTGTTACATCCTCGTCCATTGTTGGGGTGGAAGGCTATCACATTTGTTACATCCTCGTCCATTGTTGGGGTGGAAGGCTATCACATTTGTTACATCCTCGTCCATTGTTGGGGTGGAAGGCTATCACATTTGTTACATCCTCGTCCATTGTTGGGGTGGAAGGCTATCACATTTGTTACATCCTCGTCCATTGTTGGGGTGGAAGGCTATCACATTTGTTACATCCTCGTCCATTGTTGGGGTGGAAGGCTATCACATTTGTTACATCCTCGTCCATTGTTGGGGTGGAAGGCTATCACATTTGTTACATCCTCGTCCATTGTTGGGGTGGAAGGCTATCACATTTGTTACATCCTCGTCCATTGTTGGGGTGGAAGGCTATCACATTTGTTACATCCTCGTCCATTGTTGGGGTGGAAGGCTATCACATTTGTTACATCCTCGTCCATTGTTGGGGTGGAAGGCTATCACATTTGTTACATCCTCGTCCATTGTTGGGGTGGAAGGCTATCACATTTGTTACATCCTCGTCCATTGTTGGGGTGGAAGGCTATCACATTTGTTACATCCTCGTCCATTGTTGGGGTGGAAGGCTATCACATTTGTTACATCCTCGTCCATTGTTGGGGTGGAAGGCTATCACATTTGTTACATCCTCGTCCATTGTTGGGGTGGAAGGCTATCACATTTGTTACATCCTCGTCCATTGTTGGGGTGGAAGGCTATCACATTTGTTACATCCTCGTCCATTGTTGGGGTGGAAGGCTATCACATTTGTTACATCCTCGTCCATTGTTGGGGTGGAAGGCTATCACATTTGTTACATCCTCGTCCATTGTTGGGGTGGAAGGCTATCACATTTGTTACATCCTCGTCCATTGTTGGGGTGGAAGGCTATCACATTTGTTACATCCTCGTCCATTGTTGGGGTGGAAGGCTATCACATTTGTTACATCCTCGTCCATTGTTGGGGTGGAAGGCTATCACATTTGTTACATCCTCGTCCATTGTTGGGGTGGAAGGCTATCACATTTGTTACATCCTCGTCCATTGTTGGGGTGGAAGGCTATCACATTTGTTACATCCTCGTCCATTGTTGGGGTGGAAGGCTATCACATTTGTTACATCCTCGTCCATTGTTGGGGTGGAAGGCTATCACATTTGTTACATCCTCGTCCATTGTTGGGGTGGAAGGCTATCACATTTGTTACATCCTCGTCCATTGTTGGGGTGGAAGGCTATCACATTTGTTACATCCTCGTCCATTGTTGGGGTGGAAGGCTATCACATTTGTTACATCCTCGTCCATTGTTGGGGTGGAAGGCTATCACATTTGTTACATCCTCGTCCATTGTTGGGGTGGAAGGCTATCACATTTGTTACATCCTCGTCCATTGTTGGGGTGGAAGGCTATCACATTTGTTACATCCTCGTCCATTGTTGGGGTGGAAGGCTATCACATTTGTTACATCCTCGTCCATTGTTGGGGTGGAAGGCTATCACATTTGTTACATCCTCGTCCATTGTTGGGGTGGAAGGCTATCACATTTGTTACATCCTCGTCCATTGTTGGGGTGGAAGGCTATCACATTTGTTACATCCTCGTCCATTGTTGGGGTGGAAGGCTATCACATTTGTTACATCCTCGTCCATTGTTGGGGTGGAAGGCTATCACATTTGTTACATCCTCGTCCATTGTTGGGGTGGAAGGCTATCACATTTGTTACATCCTCGTCCATTGTTGGGGTGGAAGGCTATCACATTTGTTACATCCTCGTCCATTGTTGGGGTGGAAGGCTATCACATTTGTTACATCCTCGTCCATTGTTGGGGTGGAAGGCTATCACATTTGTTACATCCTCGTCCATTGTTGGGGTGGAAGGCTATCACATTTGTTACATCCTCGTCCATTGTTGGGGTGGAAGGCTATCACATTTGTTACATCCTCGTCCATTGTTGGGGTGGAAGGCTATCACATTTGTTACATCCTCGTCCATTGTTGGGGTGGAAGGCTATCACATTTGTTACATCCTCGTCCATTGTTGGGGTGGAAGGCTATCACATTTGTTACATCCTCGTCCATTGTTGGGGTGGAAGGCTATCACATTTGTTACATCCTCGTCCATTGTTGGGGTGGAAGGCTATCACATTTGTTACATCCTCGTCCATTGTTGGGGTGGAAGGCTATCACATTTGTTACATCCTCGTCCATTGTTGGGGTGGAAGGCTATCACATTTGTTCTTTTCTTGTCTTTTCTTATTTATGATCTTTACCATATAGTTCCATGATTAACGTAAGTTTAAATTTTCCAACTAAGATCAATAAAGTATGGAGTAAGGCTCTTAAGTTTAGCATGCTTGCTAACAAGTTTTCATACAAAAATTTGACTCTGATCAATTTTGAACGATAACAAATGTGTTTGTGAACAGAATTGAATAACCAGTAAGCATTTCAGTTCTATTAGGCCTCTTGCTGGTTCACAAAATGTTTTGGCCTCTTGTTGATTCTCAAAATGTTTTGGCTTCTTGTTGATTCACAAAATGTTTTGGCCTCTTGTTGATTCACAAAATGTTTTGGCCTCTTGTTGATTCACAAAATGTTTTGGCCTCTTGTTGATTCACAAAATGTTTTGGCCTCTTGTTGATTCACAAAATGTTTTGGCCTCTTGTTGATTCACAAAATGTTTTGGCCTCTTGTTGATTCACAAAATGTTTTGGCCTCTTGTTGATTCACAAAATGTTTTGGCCTCTTGTTGATTCACAAAATGTTTTGGCCTCTTGTTGATTCACAAAATGTTTTGGCCTCTTGTTGATTCACAAAATGTTTTGGCCTCTTGTTGATTCACAAAATGTTTTTGAAGTGCTTCTGTTTCTCACACAGGGTTTATTCCGGATCATGGAATTGCAAGAATTCAGTGGTTTCCACATTCTCAAGGAACAAGCTGAGGCCGAGGTTGAATCACTAGTTGAGGAAATAACAAGCCCTAACCGCACCAAGAGTGTAGTGACCCTCTTTGATGAACTGTCTGACTGCCTTTGCAAAGTTGCTGACCTGGTCAGTAGTGGAATTTGATTTACATTTTAATGTTTGCAAAAAAGAGAAGAAAAATATATATAAAGATACCCAACTCTACAGACAGATTTACAAAGGGTGTACTATCAAAAGAAAAATAAATGAATAAGATAATACAGTAATTAGAAATGTTGAAATATTGAACACCACTATATTTTCATTTTCACTGCAAGTCTTGCAGGGCGATAAAAGCAATTAAATCTGTGTTTAACCTCACATAACAAGAACCATAAAAAGAATCAGTATTAAGATGGTGTCAGGGTGTTACAGGAATGTCGTTTGTACTGACAATACAGATACTTCTATATATACTATGATAGTACGGACTACCTATATTTCGACCACTAACAACTATTAGGGTAAAATGTAAATATGAACAGGAAAGTGATTTTTAACAGTCATGCCGTAGATAAGACGGACATAACACATGGATATGCCACCATACATATTTTAAGGAAAGACTTATTTTGTATCCTATATCTTTCGAAAACAAAACAGGATTAACATATGTTTGCTGTTTGATCTTTCAGGCAGACTTTGTTCGAGTATCCCATCCAGACCCCATGTTTGCTCAAGCTGCAGAAGACACCTGTGTATACCTATCAGGCATTGTAGAAAAGTAGGTAGTATGTATGTGTTATATTGATGTCGGTATATATTAGCTATTAAGTAAAAGACGGTAGTGTTTTCTTAGAATTATCACCTCTACTCTACATCAAACCTTCGTCCTTGTAAGAGTGATTCCTGTGTGTACGGCGGCTGATATCCTCTGTAAAGGATCTACTGAACATAACAAGTTAAAAATAATTAGATGTTTTCATATGTACAACATTCACATTGTTACCATGACACGACTAAAGTTAACACATGTTCTCTAGGTCACCTTTCTCTATACAAATACATAGATCAGCCATACAGTGTTTGCTATCTGTACACATACACAGATCAGCCATACAGTGTTTGCTATCTGTACACATACACAGATCAGCCATACAGTGTTTGCTATCTGTACACATACACAGATCAGCCATACAGTGTTTGCTATCTGTACACATACACAGATCAGCCATACAGTGTTTGCTATCTGTACACATACACAGATCAGCCATACAGTGTTTGCTATCTGTACACATACACAGATCAGCCATACAGTGTTTGCTATCTGTACACATACACAGATCAGCCATACAGTGTTTGCTATCTGTACACATACACAGATCAGCCATACAGTGTTTGCTATCTGTACACATACACAGATCAGCCATACAGTGTTTGCTATCTGTACACATACACAGATCAGCCATACAGTGTTTGCTATCTGTACACATACACAGATCAGCCATACAGTGTTTGCTATCTGTACACATACACAGATCAGCCATACAGTGTTTGCTATCTGTACACATACACAGATCAGCCATACAGTGTTTGCTATCTGTACACATACACAGATCAGCCATACAGTGTTTGCTATCTGTACACATACACAGATCAGCCATACAGTGTTTGCTATCTGTACACATACACAGATCGGGCCATACAGTGTTTGCTATCTGTACACATACACAGATCAGCCATACAGTGTTTGCTATCTGTACACATGCATAGATCAGCTATACAGTGTTTGCTATCTGTACACATACACAGATCAGCCATCCAGTGTTTGCTATCTGTACACATACATAGATCAGCAATACAGTGTTTGCTATCTGTACACATACATAGATCAGCCATACAGCGTGCTATCTGTACACATACATAGATCAGCCATACAGTGTTTGCTATCTGTACACATGCATAGATCAGCCATACAATGTTTGTTATCTGTACACATACATAGATCAGCCATACAGTGTTTGCTATCTGTACACATACATAGATTAGCCATACAGTGTTTGATGAAATGTTTTACCCCTAGGTTGAACACTAATCCTGACATATACCACACCCTGAAGAATGCTGTAGAGGAAGGAGATGTGGTACCCCTGGACGACCTAGACAAGCGAGTCGGAAAACTGTTCCAGTTTGATCACGAACAATCTGGCATCCATCTTGCTGAAGATAAGGTACAGAAATATATACACATTGAATTAAAAATTAGTCAATCTGAATGAGTCAAATTGCTTTCAAGATAGGTAAATTATTTATCGGCCAAGTTTATTTTTACTTTAACAGAAAGATGTTTTTTTAATTGTGAATTTTACTTCAACTGGCACAAAGTGCCTGTTAGGTTATACCTTGGTGCGATGTCAATCATCCATCCAACTGGCTGTATTTCTTTTAAAAACTTCTTCTTAACTCATTTACTCCTGAAGACACATTTGAGCTCTTCCAATTCAAAGGTTGGATTAGTCCATTATGAAATTTCAGGGGTGAATGAGTTAAAAAACAAAAGGCCAAGGGTCATGATATTTGACTTGATGGTGTGGTGGTCCAGAATGTTTGTCTTCGGAAAAATGGAAATTGGGACCACAGAGTGCAGCTGTAATCCACTGATCATAGTGTACAGTTATGCAGATTTCAAGTGGTTTACTTGGCCATACAATGGCTACAGAAAGTAATGTGTACCAGGAAATATTCATTTAAATTTTCGCCTTTTTTGGCCTCATACAGAGGGAAAATTCATCCTAAAGGAGACTATTCGTATACAGCATACTTAACACAGTTTTCACTGTGAATGGTGAAATTAAAGCTAGGCATCAATTGATTTAATCAGTGACTGGCAATATTTTACATACAGCATCTTAAAGTACAGTAGGGGGAAGATCAGTCAACTTTTGCTGGAAATAAGTTAACAAAGTTGATCAAATTATATATTATAGTTATTTTCTGATAAAAAGACCATTTTCAAAATTATAAAAAAAAATGCATTTAAATTTCTATTCTTTTACATTGAGTAATTTATTATGAGGGTGTATACAAAAAGTTTATAAGTCTTGAGCAATATTTGATATATATTTATTCTTTCTTACAGAGGGCAGCTTTTGTAAAACTGAATGAGGATGTCATGATGATTGGAAATTTCTTCATGCAGGGTACACATGTAATGAGGAATGTTCCCAAGTCTATGTTACCAGAGAATATCCGCCATTTGTAAGTTCTGTACCCAAGACTATGTTACCGGAGAATATCCGCCATTTGTAAGTTCTGTACCCATGTCTATATGTTACCGGAGAATATCCGCCATTTGTACGTTCTGTACCCATGTCTATGTTACCGGAGAATATCCACCATTTGTAAGTTCTGTACCCATGTCTATATGTTACCAGAGAATATCCGCCATTTGTAAGTTCTGTACCCATGTCTATGTTACCAGAGAATATCCGCCATTAGTAAGTTCTGTACTCAAGTCTATGTTACCAGAGAATATCCACCATTTGTAAGTTCTGTACCCAAGTCTGTGTTACCAGAGAATATCCGCCATTTGTACGTTCTGTACCCATGTCTATGTTACCGGAGAATATCCGCCATTTGTAAGTTCTGTACCCATGTCTATGTTACCAGAGAATATCCGCCATTTGTAAGTTATTGAGGACCTAGCTAATTTCCTTGATTTGATAAACAGGTGCCACATGTGGTACAGGAAATACTGTTTATTTTTTCAGATATTATGTGGGAGCTAAGGATGTCTTTCCTTTAGTTTTGGTGTCTCCTCACTTCCTTTTCTTGTTTTTTTATATTGAATTTCAGCACCCATTTTGTTTTGTGAATTGTTGTTATAGTCAAACTTTTACTTCCATTACATAATGATGCTTGAAAAGTTCTTACAGGAAACTGATATGCCTATACTTAAAGCTATGTATACATCAAACTATACCAAAGCATATACTTCAAAAGTAAACGCCCTGTGTATTATACAGTGTCAAGAAAGCCAGGGAAATTGTGTTATAGATACAGGCGATAATACATTTATTGAAGCAAGGAGGGTCTAATTGGCTGTGATAAATATGCTTTCATGTATAAATATTAATATCTTATGTTACAGTTTAATATTGATGGTGACTGTGTATATATTTACACTTCATGTTTCAGTTTCAATGTTGATGGTGACCATGTACAAGTCTACAGCCTACACTCCGACCACTATAATGAACGGGTACCATGTTATTTTACTATGTTATGAAGAAAAAAACAGAAATTAAAGTTCTCCTTAAGCCCAGGGCCCACTTGTATAAAACATCTCAAAGTTAAGGAAAATCTCAAGCAATGTATTGTCTATGGGAAATATTAGACTTGAGGAAATCTCAAGAGTTGAGATGTTTTATACAAGTGGGCTCAAAAAATTCTTAACTCCAAAAATATTCATTACTTAAACATATATCTGAAATTTGGCCACTGTTTCCAATCAACAGGTGATTTTTTTCTAGCATTAACAGAGTCTACAATGTGAAGGTAAGGGAGATCAGGAAATTCTACTTTAGAGTGTAGAATTTGGGTCAGAACCTAGGAACACAATACATCTCCAACACACACACAGGCATACACACATAGGGAGATATTAGCCAGGTGGCATATATGCTTGGAGGATTATTTGAGCATATACCTCTGTTCTCTTCTACAATAGATAAAGCGTAACTCCCAAACTTAAAGTCCACTTTTATTTGTTTGTAACTTTACACCGTTTTAAAATGTACCCCCTCCCTAGGGTAAATGGGTGACAATGAATGTCACAACACTGCTGGATCGTTACAGTGCAGCTGACGCATCACTAAAGCCTGCAGGCGAAAATGATTCCAACGTGTATTCCTCGTAGATGAGCGAGCACTGTGTTCCACTGTGAGCACAATTTTTACAGTCTTTGCATACAGTAGTGATAGGACTAGTAGTAAGCACCTGATAAGGCAGCTCCTCCAAATTCCTCAAAATTGTATTAATTAATGTATATGCTAATTGTATTAGATGTATCAATTATATATCTACGTACAGTAAAGCACTTAAGACTCATTTAGAGTGGCTTATTCTAGCTATACAGGGCGCTATATCAAATGTTGTATATTTTATTTATTTAGGTTTTGCCGAATTTTTATTACACACGACTAACGTCATACAACATTGAGATGATACAACACTAGAATTATTACATTATACAATGCCATTGGTCATATAATTTAATATTGTTTGTAAAACACTTTTTCATTGGTGTAAAAATTGCTTGTTCCCAAAAGAGAAGTCATCTATAACACTTAAACAATCATCTGAAACCACGTTTCTATACATCAATAGACCAATCTATAATCTAGTCCAATCCTTAATTATCTGATTCAAAACTTAAATTTTTGAAAAATTGAATAATTCTAATTTTCTTTTCCTGTAAGATGAGGGAAGCTGCGTATAAGATCTACCTTTATCCTGACAAACACCAGGAACATCTTTTAATGAGTCTACTCCATAGTCGACACAAACTGGCGCAGGTCGTGGGCTTTGAGACATTTGCCCACAGGACAATCAAGGGCACAATGGCAGAAACTCCAGGTAAAAAACATAACCTACTACTGGAAGTACAGAAAGCAGCTCTCCATTCGTTTTGACCAGTTGAATTTTATAAACGAGCCTCACTCAATTAAAAAGGTTTTGTTAAAGATAAACAATGTTTAAGCTCTTGTTTTCTTTCTTTATAAATATAAAATCCAACAAGATAACAAACGTTTGATTATCAATCCTGTTTAGAGTGTCGGACACTGAAACATGATGATCCTGTTTCTGAGATCCCATCATCGAGACGACAAACATACTTCAGTTTATTGTCAATGTTAGCTTATGCAACTGGTTTGTTAGCTCATCTGCCGGAGTGCAAGTGAGCTTATGTCATGGTGCAGCATCCGTCATCTATCGTCGTCCTTCAACTTTTCCTTTAAACAACTTCTTCTGAAGAACAGACAGGCCTAGAGTCATGATATTTGGCTGAACACTTCCTTGGATAGAGCCAGACAAAGTTTGAGAATGAAAATGACCTTTACCTACTTTAAAGGTATCATGGGTCAAACGTGTCAAACACTTCAAACAACTTCTACTGAAGAACTGAAAAGTATTGAATCTTCATATTTGGCTGGTGACTTCATGGGATAGAGCCTGACAAAGTTTTAAAAAGAAAATGACCTTGACCTACTTTCAAGGTTACAGGGGTCAAATATGTCAAACACTTTAAACGACTTTTTCTGAATTATCTAAGAGCATAGATTTATAATATTTGGCTAGTAGCTTCCAGGGATGGCGCCTGACAAAGTTTGCAAATGAAAATAACCGGGATCTCCTTATATGGTAACAGGTGTCAAATATGTCAAACACTTTAAACAACTTCTTCCTAAGGACTGAAAGTTATAGAATCTTAATATTTGACTGGAAGCTTTTGGGGTGGAGCCAACAAAGTTTGAGAAGGAAAATGACTGACCTACTGTCAAGGTCACAGGGAAACAACTTGTGTAAAGGAACCAAACAGCATAGAATGTCATACTGTCGCGTCTGTCGTCTGTCCGTCCGTCGTCCGTCCGTCAACAATTTCTTTAAACTTGTGTATATATAGTTTTGGGGTTTTGAGACTTAACCCCTGGGTCATAACTTTGAAATGGTTAAAATTCCCACCCTAAAAATATATATACAAATGCTGGGCAAAAGGAGACAAATGCAGTCATGATATTATAATTGATCCTGGGGTCTGGCCACAACCCTAGGGACCTAGTTTCTGAGTCACAGCTTGGAAACAGTTGAGATCCCCACCCCATAACCATACATAAAATTGCTGGGCATGACAAATCTAATAGAGATATGCTACAAGGATTGTCCTTGGGGTCTGGCATATTCCCTTTGATCTCATTTGGAGAATATTTTGCCATGATTGTTTAGATATCCAGGTGAGTGATACAGGCCCTATGGGCCTCTTGTATAATAATATTCGGCTGGTAGTTTCAACAGATGGAGAATATTTTGTTATGACTGCTTAAATATTCAGGTGAACGATACAGGCCCTCTTGGCCTCTTGTTGTTACCTCATTATTCACATGCGTATGTATTGTATGACAGGTGAAGAAATGTTAAATTTCAGTACAAATCAGTGACTTTCCTTATGACTTATGATCAAATAAAATTAAGAAAATTGTTGAAATATATATTTTGCTATATGTCATTTTTGTACATTCTTGTCATGTGTTATTCCACAGAAAATGTCATGGATTTCCTTGAAAACTTGGCAGACAGCATTAGACCAAGGTGAGAGTTTATTTATTCTGAAGACTTAATTACACAGCAGGGGTGTCCAGTTTCCTATTTAATGTGCCAGCCAGTTGTCAGATTTTGACTTATCCTACCAGTCCAGTCTATGTTTTCTCATTTTAATATTGAAATGACACACTACCGTAACATCTTTGTTTAAAATGTTTCTTCCTGTACTTACAGAGCTGATGCTGATTATGCGGACATGCGTCGTCTGAAACTAGCTGAAGGAGGAATAGAAAACGTGAGAATAATCACATCCATGCTATATTCCTTCAAAATACTCTCTTTAATTAGACGTTGACAAAAATGACTTTCATTTCAGTGATAAGATCAACTCATCATATCTTCATAGAAATTATTGTTGATTAACTAATTTGGTTGGATCATGTCAGATAGAACAGCATGTCATTAAAGTCAGGTGACAGTAAAGTCAGGTTTCACTGTTTATTATGGGATGTCGTGAAAGTCAGGTGTCGGTACAGTCAGGTTTCATTGTTTTTACAGGATGTTGTGATAGTCAGTTGTCAGTCAAGTCAGATTTCACTGTATATTATGGGATGTTGTGGTAGAAAGGGGTCAGTAAAGTGATAATTCAGTGTATATTATGGGATGTTGTGATAGAAAGGTGTCAGTAAAGTCAGATTTCACTGCATATTATGGGATGTTGTGATAGAAAGGGGTCAGTAAAGTGATAACTCAGTGTATATTATGGGATGTTGTGATAGAAAGGCGTCAGTAAAGTCATAATTCAGTGTATATTATGGGATGGTGTGATAGAAAGGTGTCAGTAAAGTCAGATTTCACTGCATATTATGGGATGTTGTGATAGAAAGGGGTCATTAAAGTCAGATTTCACCGTATATTATGGGATGTTATAATAGAAATGTGTCAGTAAAGTCATAATTCAGTGTAAATTATGGGATGTTGTGATAGAAAGGTGTCATTAAAGTCAGATTTCACCGTATATTATGGGATGTTGTAATAGAAATGTGTCAGTAAAGTCATAATTCAGTGTATATTATGGGATGTTGTGATAGAAAGGTGTCAGTAAAGTCATAATTCAGTGTATATTATGGGATGTTGTGATAGAAAGGTGTCAGTAAAGTCATAATTCAGTGTATATTATGGGATGTTGTGATAGAAAGGTATCAGTAAAGTCACAATTCAGGGTATATTATGGGATGTTGTGATAGAAAGGTATCAGTAAAGTCAGATTTCAGTGTATATTATGGGATGTTGTGATAGAAAGGTGTCAGTAAAGTCAGATTTCACTGTATATTATGGGATGTTGTGATAGAAAGGTGTCAGTAAAGTCATAATTCAGTGTATATTATGGGATGTTGTGATAGAAAGGTATCAGTAAAGTCAGGTTTCACTGTATATTATGGGATATTGTGATAGAAAGGTGACAGTAAAGTCATAATTCAGTGTATATTATGAGATGTTGTGATAGAAAGGTATCAGTAAAGTCATAATTCAGTGTATATTATGGGATGTTGTGATAGAAAGGTGACAGTAAAGTCAGGTTTCACTGTATATAATGGGATGTCGTGAAAGTCAGGTGTCGGTACAGTCAGGTTTCATTATTTCTACAGGATGTTGTGATAGTCAGTTGTCAGTCAAGTCAGATTTCACTGTATATTATGGGATGTTGTAATAGAAAGGTGTCAGTAAAGTCATAATTCAGTGTATATTATGGGATGTTGTGATAGAAAGGTGTCAGTAAAGTCATAATTCAGTGTATATTATGGGATGTTGTGATAGAAAGGTGTCAGTAAAGTCATAATTCAGTGTATATTATGGGATGTTGTGATAGAAAGGTGTCAGTAAAGTCATAATTCAGTGTATATTATGGGATGTTGTGATAGAAAGGTGTCAGTAAAGTCATAATTCAGTGTATATTATGGGATGTTGTGATAGAAAGGTGTCAGTAAAGTCATAATTCAGTGTATATTATGGGATGTTGTGATAGAAAGGTGTCAGTAAAGTCATAATTCAGTGTATATTATGGGATGTTGTGATAGAAAGGTGTCAGTAAAGTCATAATTCAGTGTATATTATGGGATGTTGTGATAGAAAGGTGTCAGTAAAGTCATAATTCAGTGTATATTATGGGATGTTGTGATAGAAAGGTGTCAGTAAAGTCATAATTCAGTGTATATTATGGGATGTTGTGATAGAAAGGTGTCAGTAAAGTCATAATTCAGTGTATATTATGGGATGTTGTGATAGAAAGGTGTCAGTAAAGTCATAATTCAGTGTATATTATGGGATGTTGTGATAGAAAGGTGTCAGTAAAGTCATAATTCAGTGTATATTATGGGATGTTGTGATAGAAAGGTGTCAGTAAAGTCATAATTCAGTGTATATTATGGGATGTTGTGATAGAAAGGTGTCAGTAAAGTCATAATTCAGTGTATATTATGGGATGTTGTGATAGAAAGGTGTCAGTAAAGTCATAATTCAGTGTATATTATGGGATGTTGTGATAGAAAGGTGTCAGTAAAGTCATAATTCAGTGTATATTATGGGATGTTGTGATAGAAAGGTGTCAGTAAAGTCATAATTCAGTGTATATTATGGGATGTTGTGATAGAAAGGTGTCAGTAAAGTCATAATTCAGTGTATATTATGGGATGTTGTGATAGAAAGGTGTCAGTAAAGTCATAATTCAGTGTATATTATGGGATGTTGTGATAGAAAGGTGTCAGTAAAGTCATAATTCAGTGTATATTATGGGATGTTGTGATAGAAAGGTGTCAGTAAAGTCATAATTCAGTGTATATTATGGGATGTTGTGATAGAAAGGTGTCAGTAAAGTCATAATTCAGTGTATATTATGGGATGTTGTGATAGAAAGGTATCAGTAAAGTCATAATTCAGTGTATATTATGGGATGTTGTGATAGAAAGGTATCAGTAAAGTCATAATTCAGTGTATATTATGGGATGTTGTGATAGAAAGGTATCAGTAAAGTCATAATTCAGTGTATATTATGGGATGTTGTGATAGAAAGGTATCAGTAAAGTCATAATTCAGTGTATATTATGGGATGTTGTGATAGAAAGGTATCAGTAAAGTCATAATTCAGTGTATATTATGGGATGTTGTGATAGAAAGGTATCAGTAAAGTCATAATTCAGTGTATATTATGGGATGTTGTGATAGAAAGGTATCAGTAAAGTCATAATTCAGTGTATATTATGGGATGTTGTGATAGAAAGGTATCAGTAAAGTCATAATTCAGTGTATATTATGGGATGTTGTGATAGAAAGGTGTCAGTAAAGTCATAATTCAGTGTATATTATGGGATGTTGTGATAGAAAGGTGTCAGTAAAGTCATAATTCAGTGTATATTATGGGATGTTGTGATAGAAAGGTGTCAGTAAAGTCATAATTCAGTGTATATTATGGGATGTTGTGATAGAAAGGTGTCAGTAAAGTCATAATTCAGTGTATATTATGGGATGTTGTGATAGAAAGGTGTCAGTAAAGTCATAATTCAGTGTATATTATGGGATGTTGTGATAGAAAGGTATCAGTAAAGTCATAATTCAGTGTATATTATGGGATGTTGTGATAGAAAGGTGTCAGTAAAGTCATAATTCAGTGTATATTATGGGATGTTGTGATAGAAAGGTATCAGTAAAGTCATAATTCAGTGTATATTATGGGATGTTGTGATAGAAAGGTGTCAGTAAAGTCAGATTTCACTGTATATTATGAGATGTTGTGATAGAAAGGTATCAGTAAAGTCAGATTTCACTGTATATTATGGGATGTTGTGATAGAAAGGTTTCAGTAAAGTCAGATTTCACTGTATATTATGGGATGTTGTGATAGAAAGGTGTCAGTAAAGTCAGATTTCACTGTATATTATGGGATGACATTAAAGTCAAGTTGATTTAAAAATTCAGGTTTCATTGTGTTGTTATTTTGATATTTAAATAAAATGGTTGTTACATTCATGACTACTGCCATAACTTTCTATTGAGTGTGTTCTATTTATAGAGTATTCTGGCATGGGACCCGCCATACTATAGTGCCAAGGGGAGACAACTTGTGTAAGTGATCATTTTAAAACATAATGACTCGCGAAGATTTTCAGTACCTGAGTAAATATATCAGACATTGATATATTCTTTAACATGCTGTTAGTAAGCTTAAGAAAGCCTGTCAACAGAGTGTTCCTTATTATGGTGTTAATGATCTAGACAGAATGGAAAGTGCTATAAGTCTGAACAGGAATGCGGACAATTTGAATAGCATGCTTTTGCACTTAGTCTGTTTTTGAGAATTGAGAATGTTCTCAAGATAACAACTTTTGTTAAATTTAGTTCTTTACATGTGAGTCATTGATATCAATTGCTATAGAAAGATGATAATATTTTACAGAAAAAAATATATTCAAATTATTATGCAAATGGTTTATAGAACACTTTAAGATAATGCTGAAAATATTTTAGTTTAGAACACACAAGTTAAACATTATTTCATTCAAAAATTAAACAAATACTGTATAAATATTACATCAAGATGTGAATACAAGTGTATCAGTTAATTAGTAAACACATGTATTATGTTATATGTCTTGTATCTTATAATCTGTAAGGCTTATAGAATAAACAAATCGAATTGAAGTTGTGAAAGTTTAGTGTTTCCTCTCTCAATCCAGTAAATATATCCTCAGTCTTACTTGTTTACAGCTCCAACCTAAAGAGCTATGAGGTGATGCCATATTTCTCCATCGGAGGTTGTATGGAGGGGCTCAGCAACCTATACAAATGTCTGTTCAACGTCACTCTACAGAATGTGAAGCTTGAAAATGGTGAGGCCTGGGCCAAGGACATCCACAAACTGGTAAATATCTGTATATACATGTTACAAGCCATGCCCAGTGATAAGCCCACTCCTTGTTGATCAAATCTTACAGATGAGAGTTATAATTTACAGCCCCTGCATTGGAGATGCAAGTGTCCTATAGTGTCCTATAGTGTCCTATATTGTCCTATAGTGTCCTAAAGTGTCCTATATTGTCCTATAGTGATCATGTCTGTCCTTCCACAGTTTCATTTCAAGATATGGTTTCAGAATGCAAAAGACTAATATTTTTTAAATGATGATACACTGTGATATGTAGATATGCAATAAGGTCAAGTTCAAGGCCACTGTTACTAAATATAGACCACATGTGTATGGTCAAGCCCATGGATGTGCCCTTGATGACATGTCATTGTTCTAGTTTAGAATATGTGCTTGTGTGTACAGAATCAGGTACCAAAGATATACCATTTTCTAGGTACAAGTGATAAGATCTCCTAGATCCTTGTTTATATCTTATACAGATGAATGTTGCATCTTGAAATAAGATCTTTTGGTATTGAAGAACCTAAATGAAAATAAGACCTTTGGCTTGCATTAACAAGTTTATCCCATTGTTAAGATTCAGGCTAGTAGTATATATATGATACCTTTCCAATTAGTACGGATTATAGGAGACATTGTTAAGGACCCTCTTTGCTAATTACAATGAGTAAACATAAACAGTACATTACATAAAAAGTAGCAAGACTTGAGGCAAAACATTAAACTGTTCATGTTGTTTTGAAGAGAATAAAAAAGATAAATAGAAACAAGTTTTGTATAACTCTATATATCAACACTAATAATTCTGTTGTATATATATATTTTTGCCTAAAATTTCTCGTAACTTATGCTATAGTATTTATAAAACATTTGATTGTTTTCTAGCTAACTAGATAAAGAAATAAAAGACAATATGGCTATATACATTTGGATTGGATTTTCTCACTTATACAAAAGTGAAAACACTGCACCTTTGGAAAGTTCTCATTTGATAAGAACTGTGTTTGCTGGATTATCAGTGTAGACCTGACAGATTACATGTGTACACTACTAGTCTGATTTCTACGACAGGCTGTGGTACACGAGTCGGAGGGTGTGCTGGGCTATATCTACTGTGACTTCTTTGAGAGACCTGACAAACCTCCACAGGTAAAGTGTTCAGAACATACCCTTGTTTGACACCTACTGCATGTGTGTGTACAGCTGCTCCTTGTCAGAGGGGGTAATATGACTTTTTATTTTAGACAATAGTAACAGTTTCTTATACAATGCATGGAGGTTTCACAGCTACATCAACAGTGTAGTAGCCTCGATACACTGTATATGTAGGTGTGACATCTCCAAGTATTATGGTATGCATTTACTAAATATAAACAGTAATTAAAAATATGTAATTCTAATAAAAATCTGTAAATTTTCTAATACTTATCATTAAAATATTTATTGCAGTTAAATTTTCTGTTGTTTTCATTTAATTAAGAGTACATTATCTTGATTGCATAATGCTTGTAAAATTCTCTTTGTTAAGCTATGTGGTGAAAGAGACGTTTATCAAAATTGGGCTTAGCTGAAATTACAATAAAGTTAAAGGTTGCGATTACAGAGAATGTGTTTGCTCCAACAGGACTGTCATTACACCATCCAAGGAGGTCGACAGAAGCAGGACGGCCAGTACCAGCTTCCCATTGTGGTGTTACAGCTTAACTTCTCAGCCTCCCGGAGTAATGTCCCCTCCCTACTTACCCATGGTATGATGGAGAACTTGTTTCACGAGTTCGGACATGCCATGCACTCCATGTTGGGGCGGACAAAATACCAACATGTCACAGGTACATAGCAAGATGTTTCTAACAATGCCTAAAACTTACTTTGGCATTTTAATGAGAATGCACCTCTACAATAGCATAGGCCTGAGTTTGTTTATGTCCACAATAGTGTTAGCTTAAATCCTTCAACCCTCTCAATAGTTTAGGTCTGAGTTATCTTTCAATTCCAGCTCCACCTCCAGATTAACATAGGCCTGACTCTTCATTCAAGATATAGTCATAAGTTAACTTGTTTGGTTTCAGGTACAAGGTGTCCAACAGACTTTGCTGAGGTGCCATCTATACTGATGGAATATTTTGTGTCTGATCCAAGGGTATGTATACCTCATGTACTGTTAGCCTATGGGTATATTGTACATACAAAGAACCTAAAAGAAGGGTTCCTAACCAATAGTAAAGATTAACTGATACTTTAAAAAGGTGTTTTCCTTCCAGCAGGTGAGTTTTCTACCTAACAGTAAGTTGGCTTTACCCTAAAACAACAATTCAACATGCTAAAATTCATTCTAAGTACCAATTTCTCCTCTATAGGTGCTGTCGACGTTTGCATTCCACCACAAGACAGGTGAGCCACTTCCTATGGAGCAGATACAGAAACTCTGTGAGGCCAAGAGGTTATATGCAGCATCAGTAAGTTCCTTCAGCTAAAAAATGGTTTTTGTGGATCAGCTCAACTGGTTTTCACATATTTACCCACGGTACATACACAGACCTCAATACAGATACATATTTAGAGTCTGCAGGAACCAAATGCCACAGGCAGGATAATTTAATAGTTCAGGCAAATAAAAATTAGTAGTAAACTGTTTATTTTGCTAGCGCTTCCAAAAAAGGTGTCATGGTATTATTTTAATTCAATTCCTAACAAAATGCATCTTTTTTATATCTATGATGGTATGCAACACGATTCCCTTTTAACATATGTTTCATTATTTCATTTTTGAAATTAAGAAAATATCCTTTCTCCTGGATTTGAAATAAGTAAAATTTAAGTAATCTGAATTTAAAATAAGAAAAAATAATTCTTTAACCAAGTTATGTGATATAAATGTTACTTTATAGGTAAATTATTTAAGCAGGAAATATTTAAATTTCTGTTGTACAGTGATAAGATAAACCTTCCTACCAGAAAAGTTTTTATAAACCAAAAACAGCAAGAACTGTTGCACATGAATGTTTTCTGATGGAAAAGTGTTCAGGCCTTTCCATCTTACTGTTAGCATAAGCAGAGACAGATTATATGGGGTGATGTTAAACTCAAATTATGATGGAAATTTTTTATGGTTTTCAATTGATGTTTGTAATCTGACAGAATTGTTAACCACAGCAAACTCGACCTTGGTCCCGCAAAAAACAGCAAACAAGCTTTACTTACAGGACATGCAGGTCCAGGTGTTATCCTCCATCACTGACCAGGTGTTCCACAGTCGCTTCCCGTTTGAGAAAAACAAGAGTACGACACAGGTGATGGCCGATCTACATAAAAAATACTACAGCATTCCATACGTCGATAATGCAGTAAGTACTACATGACACCGGTGTGGTGATGTCTGAGTGACAGAAACATACTACAGTAAGTACTACATGACACCGGTGTGGTGATGTCTGAGTGACAGAAACATACTACAGTAAGTACTACATGACACCGGTGTGGTGATGTCTGAGTGACAGAAACATACTACAGTAAGTACTACATGACACCGGTGTGGTGATGTCTGAGTGACAGAAACATACTACAGTAAGTACTACATGACACCGGTGTGGTGATGTCTGAGTGACAGAAACATACTACAGTAAGTACTACATGACACCGGTGTGGTGATGTCTGAGTGACAGAAACATACTACAGTAAGTACTACATGACACCGGTGTGGTGATGTCTGAGTGACAGAAACATACTACAGTAAGTACTACATGACACCGGTGTGGTGATGTCTGAGTGACAGAAACATACTACAGTAAGTACTACATGACACCGGTGTGGTGATGTCTGAGTGACAGAAACATACTACAGTAAGTACTACATGACACCGGTGTGGTGATGTCTGAGTGACAGAAACATACTACAGTAAGTACTACATGACACCGGTGTGGTGATGTCTGAGTGACAGAAACATACTACAGTAAGTACTACATGACACCGGTGTGGTGATGTCTGAGTGACAGAAACATACTACAGTAAGTACTACATGACACCGGTGTGGTGATGTCTGAGTGACAGAAACATACTACAGTAAGTACTACATGACACCGGTGTGGTGATGTCTGAGTGACAGAAACATACTACAGTAAGTACTACATGACACCGGTGTGGTGATGTCTGAGTGACAGAAACATACTACAGTAAGTACTACATGACACCGGTGTGGTGATGTCTGAGTGACAGAAACATACTACAGTAAGTACTACATGACACCGGTGTGGTGATGTCTGAGTGACAGAAACATACTACAGTAAGTACTACATGACACCGGTGTGGTGATGTCTGAGTGACAGAAACATACTACAGTAAGTACTACATGACACCGGTGTGGTGATGTCTGAGTGACAGAAACATACTACAGTAAGTACTACATGACACCGGTGTGGTGATGTCTGAGTGACAGAAACATACTACAGTAAGTACTACATGACACCGGTGTGGTGATGTCTGAGTGACAGAAACATACTACAGTAAGTACTACATGACACAGGTGTGGTGATGTCTGAGTGACAGAAACATACTACAGTAAGTACTACATGACACCGGTGTGGTGATGTCTGAGTGACAGAAACATACTTCAGTAAGTACTACATGATACAGGTGTGGTGATGTCTGAGTGACAGAAACATACTACAGAAAGTATTACACGACACCGGTGTGGTGATGTCTGAGGGACAGAAACATACTACAATAAGTACTACATGACACCAGTGTGGTGATGTCTGAGGGACAGAAACATACTACAGCATTCCCTACGTCATTGACGCAGCAACAATATATACTGTAAATCACATTTACAATGCATACTTTAATTGTGTACGGGCAATCTAACAGTTTATATTTAGAGACAGTTAACAGAAGGACCATATGACATTTTGTTCACACTTTTGCAGGGTCCCTTGTTAAAGCTCACCGGTACCACTGTGAAAAACCTCTAACGTCCGATACTGTGTATGAAATGTATACTCTTTGCTATTGATATCAAAGATCTTATAGCTTTTTATACCTTCACCTGTGCCATTTATTCCTGAACCAAACTCATAACGTATTTGATTATATGGATATTTCAGTATGACTCCATAACCCTGATTGTATGGCACCCCAACACTGATTTTATGCTTATTTTGAATTATCAAAGGTCTACCAATTTATTTTGCAAATATCACAATCCTTGTGACCTTTAAAGTGCAATTAATGGGACTGGTTCTGCTAAGTAGAAAGTATAAAAAATGTGAGAATATAGTTTAAGTGATTTTTGCTTTTCCATACACATTTGTACACACTTTTTATACATTATTAGGCATGGCAGCTGAGGTTTGGTCACCTTGTGGGATATGGCGCTAAGTATTACTCCTACCTCATGTCACGGGGTGTGGCCGCACGTATCTGGCATAAATGCTTTAAAGACGACCCCTTTAACAGGTAAGACAGAATAAACCAACTCTTTACACAAGTAAATTATAAATTGGACAACAATTTTAATTACATTCGATTCAGATAATGATATGCTTATTAATAGTACATATTATATATACAAAACGCAAACTACCTTCTGATATCCATTCAGATATAATTATTGTAAGACATTTTATATGTTAAAGTTAAGTAAACATGACCCTTTGTGTAATTTTAGGCTTTTATCATATGAAATGAAAAGAAAGTTTCAACTCACAATCTTTAGATTGGAATGGCCTCAGCCTGTCATCTCTCCTATTATTATGCCATGATCAATAAAAAAATTTTTTTTTATTATTATTAATAAGAGACTTTTTTGTAACATAATGTGAGTCTTGTTAATGATTTCTGCTAGAATATCACATATCACATTCCATGGCTTGTGGTAGAGTTATTTCCCTTGAAAATCTTTTATTATCATGTCAGAACTCAGAATTACACAAATAAATCATTGTGTACATTATTGTGTACCGGTATGTTATAAATCAGTCATCATTAATTTACCGAAGTCCCGATTGTCAGTCCTGTAATCTATTGGTTTGTGAGTGTAGGACTGGATAGAGGTGTACATGAGGCTGACATGTATCTTTAATGCTATGTAATTTTGATGTTACAGGCAGATGGGTGAGCGGTTCAGGGAAAAGATGCTGTCTCATGGCGGGGAGATAGCCCCAGGACTATTAGTCCAGTGTACGTAATATTTCATCTTTTATATATCTCCTGAATGGAATTCAGACTTCAAATTTTGGATAGAAAATAATGTCAGTGGCATAGAAATCCAGGTACACTGACTGAAACTATCTTACACTCAGGTACACTGAAATTATCTTACACTCAGGTACACTGACTGAAACTGTCTTACACTCAGGTACACTGAAATTATCTAACACTCTGGAACAATGAAATTATCTTACACTCAGGTACACTGAATTATCTTACACTCAGGTACACTGAAACCATCTTACACTCAGGTACACTGAAATTATCTTACACTCAGGTACACTGACTGAAACTGTCTTACACTCAGGTACACTGAAATTATCTAACACTCGGGAACAATGAAATTATCTTACACTCAGGTACTCTGTAATTATCTTACATTCAGGTACACTGAAACTATCTTACACTCAGGTACACTGAAACTATCTTACGCTCAGGTACAATGAAATTATCTTACACTTGGGTACAATGAAACTATCTAACACTCAGGTACACTGAAATTATCTTACACTCAAGTACACTAAAATTCTCTTACACTCAGGTACACTGAAATTGTCTTACACTCAGGTACATTGAAATTATCTTACACTCGGGTACAATGAAATTATCTTACACTCAGGTATACTGAAATTGTCGTACACTCAGGTACACTGAAATTATCTTACACTTAGGTACAATGAAACTATCTTACACTCAGGTACAGTGAAATTATCTTACACTCAGGTACATTGAAATTGTCTTACACTCAGGTACACTGAAATTGTCTTATGTAAACTTCTTTTCACATTTGAATATGTATCCTTAGATATCAGGACGTATGTTTATAATAGTTTGGCATGACAATCTTACTGTATCATGGTATACAAATTCTGTTACAGTTTTAGAATTAGATCAAAAGGACATGCATGTCCAATATGTTAACTAGTTAGCCTTAGTTAATCCAGAAACTTAAATAAATACTAGCAAAACCCTTACTTATAATTCAAATGTTAGTACATTCAATTTCGTGTTTTTATGTAAACGGTTAATGTGTATACCAGGTACATGAAATTAAGTTTATTTATACCAACAAATTATAATTCATATGCTGTTGTAATCACTGTAGACTGATTAGCTGAATCAGGAAATAATCACAGGAATATTTTTTTACAGCCATGCTTCAGGAAACACAGGAGTTGACAATGAACCAACTAGTTGAGTCCCTTATCCAGGACTTGGACAGTAGCTGATGAAAATAGATCACATGGCCTGCATAATGTTATAGTGGAAACACGAAAGTTAGGTCATCTCAAAAATCTGTTTTCATCTTTGTACAAAATAACAGTAGCTGGACAGTTAAAGCTGTGAACCACCAGACCTCCAAAACATTGACTTTTTATTCTGATGTGGTATTTGGGAGATGAAACATGAGATACTTCTATAAGGATCTGTGTTCCGCTAAAACAATTGTCAAGTGATATTTGGACAACGATTGTATTACAGTACAGTACAACACACTTCTTATTTTCAAGGCAGCAAAATGATGGAATTCCTCACTATGATATCCTGACCTTGACAATGTGGAACTTCTCACTCGTGACCTTGACCTTGTAAACATCTCACTCTTAGTCCTTAGATTTTGTGAGCATTTTCACCTAATCTGTAATAAGAGTGTAGTCAATCACAGAACTTGTGAAAGATGCCAAAACAGTAATTTTATCCAATGTAATGTTTGATACAGTTTGAAGCCCTGTATAAACAAGTATTTTACACATGTGCTATATAATGTTGTGATACTAATAATCATTAAACTTGTGATTGGACATTAACAAAAAATGTCAGTAATAACTGTACATTTCTTTTATGTTTTAAAACTTGTTAATTATTTGTTGTTTAAATTGTTTTGAGAACATTTGCTTTTCCCATGCTGTCAGATGAATTTTACCTGTTTCAATGAATCATGATTTTGTGCTGATTGAAATAAATAAATAGATATGTTACATATCCATTTTGCCTAAAAAAATCAATTATCTTGCATTTATGTAAAACAGGAAAATGTTCACACTTCTGATAGCCATCATTCAAAGACTGCCTACATACATTTACCACCATGATGAGACCTACATACATTTACCACCATGATGATCAGACCTGCATACGTTTACCACCATGATGATCAGACCTGCATACATTTACCACCATGATGAGACCTACATACATTAACCACCATGATGAGACCTACATACATTTACCACCATGATGAGACCTGCATACGTTTACCACCATGATGAGACCTACAGATGTTTACCACCATGATGAGACCTGCATACATTTACCACCATGATGCGACCTTTATACATTTACCACCATGATGAAAACTGCATACGTTTACCACCATGATGAGACCTGCATACGTTTACCACCATGATGAGACCTACCTGGGGGAGGAAGATCCTGGTAGTTGAGCAGAGTCGGAATCACTGTCAAACTCTTGATAGGAAGGAGACATGATCCGATATTCTGCAACATACTGCTTTGGCTTCGGACTCTGGGTAGATGAGAGATGATATGGGCCCTCTATCACCAATGGGCTGGTCATGCCGAGCCCTTGGTATACATACTTCAAAGAAATCGCGAGAGTATACTATTCCAAATTCTATGTATCTTCGACACTTTGGCACTGGACATCCGCGTCACACCAGTGTCCCTTTGTTGGGCTCCGTGGCGGGTGGAGGCATAGATCGTGAAACAAACAAAAATACACAGGGGTAAAGATAAAAACCACCAAAAACGACGGACATACCAAAAACCGGAACGATGACTCTAGCTCAAAATCAACACAAAACTCAACACAGAACACCCAATTCCCGCAATTCCTTGTGATGACCTCCACACAGAGCGGCAAAACAACGGCCGCGTTGTTGCCACTTCTGTTGAGGAAGGGCAACCAGGGAATTGCTGGGGATGTGAAATCCTTTAAGCCATTGGGATCGGGCGATCTCCTTATAGAGGTTTATCGCCAACACCAGGCGATGAACCTTCTTGGAACAACCAGTTTTGCCGGCATCGGTGTCAGTGTGAAACCACACTCATCGCTTAATTGCAGCAAGGGGGTAATTAGGTGCCCAGCCTTGCGCAATGAATGATGAAGACATACTGGCATATTTCCAGGAGGAGAGCATCCCAGGTCCCGGTCTCTGAGGTGAGGCGGAAGGTAATCAGGAGAAACAATGACACTATAAGAACAAACACCTTCATCATCACATTTTCAACACCAACACTACCCCATATACTAACAATCGGATACCAGAGGTACAACGTTTCCATCTACATCCCAAATCCATTGCGATGCCGAAACTGTCAGAAGTACGGTCATCACGAAAAGCAATGTAGACGAAAATCGATCTGCCAGTATTGTGGCCGTGAGGGTCACACCAAATAAAGTGACTATGACATCGCCAACCTGCGCTGTGTCAACTGTGAGGGGAAGCATGCTGACTCTTTTCGCGACTGCCCTTCCTGGAGCCGGTAGAGGGAGATATTACGGGTTAAATATACCCAAGGTGTCTCTTTCCCCAAGGCCAGGAGGATAGTCGGGAGTGCAGACATTGCTACACCCTCTTATGCACAGGTGACTCGAGGCAAGGCGCCGGTTGACAATGTCACGGTCAATGATGCTTCGGTTCAAGTATCTGAAGACATACCTGCCGGGGGCTCACAAGTCCCAGACATGGCTGGTCAACAGAACTTGAAAAAAGCATCACCCTCAAAAACAGCAACTTCATCAAAACCAGCACCACCATCAAAAACACCTTCCTCTTCAGGAGAAAACCCTCCAAAAGTTGGCCCATCTAAGGCACAGGTGCGGTCGCGTGATCTCGCTCACTTACATCTGTTCCACGATCCCAATTGAGGTCAGAGGCAAGAAAAAAATTAAAATAGTGAGGGGCAAATCTGATGGACCCAAACTGAATATCACCTTTGGCAAAGGATCAGAGGACCCGACAAACGGGATCAATGTCCTACTAGGTTTCGATGATGAGATGGAGACGAATGCCTCAGCGCTTCGTGCTTCGACTCCATCGAAATCCAGCCAAAATAGCAAAACAAAATTAATACAATTATCCAATGGAACATCCGCGGATTAAAGGCAAATATAGAAGAATTTCAGAATCTATCAAAAGAATTTAGACCCGCCATGTTTTGTCTACAAGAAATCATGCTCAAAAACCCAATCACGCTTAGAAATTTCTCACTCTACACTTACATTCCAACTGTAGTTAGCAGAGAAGCAGGTGGCGCAGCGGTAGCTGTACATAAAAATATTCCTCACAGAATGATCAAGTTAAACACAAATTTACAGGCTGTTGCTGTCTGTGCCACATTACACAGACAAATAACCGTCTGTTCAATTTATCTCCCTCCGAGTATTGTTTTCACTTGTGAGCAACTCAATAACATCGTCTCCCTGCTCCCAACACCATTCATAATCCTCGGTGATTTTAATGGTCATAATAGCCTGTGGGGCTCCCCCAACACAGACGAGAGAGGAAGACGAATTGAGAAATTTATAGATAAAAACAACTTGTGCCTTTTTAACAACAATACCCCAACCTATTTACACCCTGCTACAGGCTCTCGTACCCATATTGATCTATCATTATGCCATCCATTCATTCTACTTGATTATGATTGGAGGGGTAAATGATGATCTTTGTGGGAGTGACCACTTCCCAATTTTTCTTAAGAATATTGGGACTCCTCTTGATCAATCTGAATAAATACAGCTGTTCATTATCACGTACCGGAGCTTTTTTTTTTTTATTAACATCTGATTTTAATGAGATTGCCTCTTGATGATCCTCTACCTCGATAGAATATGCACAAAGCAGATTGGGTCCAATTCCAACACATGTGCATTGAAAAACTAACCATAGACAATTTTACTAACCTCAACGACCTTATCAAAACTTTTACTGAAACACTGACTTCTATTGCCTAAAAGACAATTCCAAAATCCGCTCCAAAACCTACGAAGTTCCTTTTATCTGAAGAATCTTTTAAAACACAGTAATCGGGCAGCTGCTCTAAGACGCTACTTCAATTGCCCAACTGCTTCAAACTACAGTGAATTTAAAATTTGGCGGGCAAAGGCTCGGCGATCAATTAAAATTGACAAAAGAAACAGCTGGAGAGAATATGTATCCAAGATATCATCAAACACGTCCTCAAAAAAAGTATGGGATATGATTCGGAAAATAAGAAAAAGGCAACATCCTCCCACCTCATTAATAAAAACAAAATGTTTTCGTCTATGTCTGAAATTGCTGATGCATTTGCAAAAAAACATAGCTAAAAACTCAACCCCCTTTAAACCACTCCCGAAAATTCCAGTCTTTAAAGAAAAAAAGAGAAGACAAACGGCTCAATTTCAAATCATCAAACAAAGAAAGTTATAATGAGCAATTTACCCTACCAGAACTTGTTGATTCGCTTAGAAAATCACAGGACACTGCTTCAGGTCCTGATGATATCCCATATCAATTTCTAAAGCACTTACCGGACTCGTCACTAACATGCCTTCTTTACATATTCAACCAAGTTTACACTTCTGGAAAGATTCCCGATTCGTGGAAGAACTCCACATTTATACCTATCCCAAAACCGGGAAAGGATGCTACTGACCCAAACAACTATCGTCCTATCTCTCTGACTTTAAAGTTGTGTATGAAAACTTTAGAACGAATGATAAACACTAGACTAGTTTGGTTTCTTGAGGCCAACGATATGATATCCCCTCTTCAAAGTGGTTTTAGAAATAGAAGAGGGACAAATGACCATCTCATCAGATTAGAGACATTCATTCGAGAGGCTTTCACCAAGAAGGAACACCTTGTCGCCGTGTTCTTTGATCTTGAGAAGGCCTATGATACTACATGGCAGTATGGCATCATGAACGATCTTCACGACCTAGGCGTACGTGGAAACCTTCCCAGTTTTATATCTAATTACCTATCAGATAGACACTTCAAAGTCTGTGTTGGTTCAACTTTTTCTGAAACGTCTAAACAGGAAATGAGAGTCCCGCAGGGTGGAATCCTATCAGTCACACTGTTTGGTCTTAAAATCAATGATATAGTCAAATGTCTTGGTCAATCAACAGAAGGGTCGTTATTTGTGGATGACTTCTTGAGCTGTTACAGATCTAAGAACATGCACACGATAGAACGACAACTTCAACAGAGTTTAAACAAACTACAAAATTGGGCAGACGGAAACGGCTTCAAATTCTCTAAATCCAAAACTGTGTGCATGCATTTCTGTCAAAAACGAAAAGCACACAATGACCCAAATCTAACACTCGATGGCACTAGAATTCCTGTTGTTGAACAGACTAAATTTCTCGGCCTCATTTTTGATTCGAAACTCTCTTTCATACCACATATAAAGTATCTGAAGGATAAGGGTTCCAAGGCGTTAAATATTATACGAGTCCTTTCTCACACTGATTGGGGAGCGGACCGTGAAATGCTTTTGCGCCTATACAGATCACTTATTCGAACACAACTGGATTATGGTTCTATGGTATACGGGTCGGCGCGCAGTTCGTACCTGCAGATGCTAGACCCAATCCATAACCAAGGGCTTTGTCTAGCCCTTGGAGCTTTTCGAACAACACCTGTAAAAAGCCTGTACGTGGAAGCAATTAATGAACCATCCCTTTATGACAGAAGAAAACAACTTTCATTATAATTTGCAGCCCAATTAAAATCAAACCCTAAAAATCCTGCTTTCAAACCAAAATACCTAAACATATTTACGCAAAACCAGAAACTTCTGCCAACATTTGGTATCCAAATTTTAAATTTCCAGCAAGAACTCAACATGAAGTTGACGGACATAGCTGAATTTAACATACATATCCGATGTTCCTCCGTGGACCATCTAAACCCCTGATTTTAACTTTACATGAGCGAGGGAAATCAAGTGTTATGCCCGAAGAACACAAATCCTCCTTTCGGGAATGCATTTCGAATTACCCTTTTATACACAACTTTACACCGATGGTTCCAAAGAAGGTGAGAAAGTGGCAGCAGGCTGCTGTACTGCTAATACTTGCACTTCAGTCTGACTACCAGATGGCGCCTCCATCTTTTCTGCTGAAGCATAGGCACTTGACCCTTTGTTATATGTCAGATTTTTTTTTTTCAAAATTATTAAAAAAAGAAATGACAAAGAAATGACAATTTTTTTAAAAAAAAATTATGCATTCGAACCAATGAATTGGTTCGAATGCATGTACATTAAAAAAATAAATTAAAAAAAATGTCCTTTCTTTTTTTTATTCAGATAATTCTCAGATAATAATTTTGAAAAAAAAAATGTATAGAACTTATAAAAAAAAAAAAAAAATCTGACATAACAAAGCGTCAAGTGCCTATGGCTGAAGCATGCGCCATTGGTTTGGCCCTCGACCATATCGATGAACACCGCATTAAAAAGGCAATTATTTGTTCAGACTCTCCATCTGTCCTACAGGGTTTACAGTTACGAGATCCTAAAAACACACTCGTACAAAACCTTGGTCTTCGAATATATCGTATCTTAAAAAAGTCTAAAATAACTTTACTATGGATTCCGAGCCATGTCGGAATTAAAGGCAACAAATTTGCTGACAGGGAAGCAAAAAAATACATTGAATCTCGAACAAATTCGTACAGCCATTCAAAATGAATGGCAGCAACGCTGGTCTCTTGAGACCACCAACAAACTTTTTAAGATACAACCGAAACTTAAAACATCTATTCCCAGTCGGAAAGATCGTAGAGAGGAAGTTGTCCTCGCTCGGCTCCGTACTGGGCACACATATCCTATTCATTCGTACCTTTTAAAACGAGAAGAGCTACCTTCATGCCACGCATGTGACACTCCATTTACAGTGGAACATTTTTAGGTCACCTGAGCTTTAGCTCAAGTGACCTATTGCTATCCGTTTTTGTCCGTCGTCGTCCGTTAACATTTTACATTTCAAACTTAAAGTCAAGTTCTGCTGAGCCGATTGAACTGAAAGTTGGTAGGAATGATCGACTCATGGTCCTGACAAAGTGTTGTTATTTTTCGGGTCGATCAGAAATCCTATATNGGCCGCCATTTTGAAAAACTATTTCAAACTTAAAGTCAAGTTCTGCTGGGCAGATTGAACTGAAAGTTGGTAGGAATGATCGACTCATGGTCCTGACAAAGTGTTGTTATTTTTTCAGGTCAATCAGAAATCCAATATGGCCACCATGGCCGCCATTTTGAAAAACTATTTCAAACTTAAAGTCAAGTTCTGCTAGACTGATTTAACTGAAACTTTGTGAAATGATTGACTCATGGTCCTGACAAAGTGTTGTTATTTTTCGGGTCGATCAGAAATCCAATATGGCCGCCATGACCGCTATTTTGTAAATACCTATTTCAAACTTAAAAACAAGTTCTAATATAGGCCGATCTCACTGAAAATCGGTCTAGGAATGATCAGCTCATGGTCCTGACAAAATTAAGTTAACATTATACTTAGCTATTTTTTACTCAAATTGGTACATATTTCAACAACAAAAATAAATACTGTAGGACTCAGGTGACCGTTAAGGCCCATGGGCCTCTTGTTTAATAGAATGTTCCGATTTTAAACACATTCGTGATAACTACTTTCGAGTCCCGGATATGAAAACTCTTTTCAGTTCCGTGGACTCAAAGGCATTATTTAACTATTTGAAAGACATCAGTCTGTTTTATAGACTCTGATGTCTTTTAACCCACCTTATCCATTTTGACGTTATATATATATCACATATTCCATATCATCTATTCGTTATATCTTTTATTATTTTAACCCCCTTTTTTATTTTTTATTATCTACACATACAATGCGAATGCTTTTAAAATGAACCATTTTATCTGATTTTATCTTCGCTACTCACATGTTTGTTAAAAAAATAAGATAAATAAATAAATCACCATGGCCCTAAATGACCATAGCCGTTGATGGGCCGTTAAACATAAACAAACAAACAAACGACTTCATAAGATTTTCATACAGTAGAAAAGAGGTGGGACTGTACCTAGATGTTGATTCATCTTTTGCAAATTGAATTTCACAGTATAAAAGGTAGCACCACTAAGTACTCACCTCAAACTTGTGACTTATAATTAAAACCAAGCTGAGCCAGTAGAAAGTAGCTTGTCAAAAGTTACCTTGTGACCAAATATTATGACTGGTGCTTTTGATATTCAACATCAACTAGATTAAACTTGAAGCTTCCCAGATACCCCACCCCCGCTTCTTGCATACTTACAAATTTTAGAGCTTATTCATGAAACAGTGGCTAACATATGCCAAGATATTATTAAATTAGCACTTGAGGTGAAGGTCAAAGGTAAAATTGAGGTCAGAGTGACCTCGTTTTAAGGTTATAACACACTGGTCTTCCCATGATGTACCTCTATTCAAAGTTTGATGCCCATTCATGAAACAGCTGCTGTTATATGCTCTAGAAATTATAGTCAGCATGGACATATACTATATACCACAACCTTATCGAAGGGAGGGTCTGAAAAATATTTTGGACGATGGATGCAGCATCATAACATAATCTCACAGACACTTCATGCAGGTGAGCTAAATATCAAAACATAACCATTTCAAGTTTTTAGTTATTTAATTTTAGCATTAATCAGCAAGACATTTTTACTGTACATTTATGCACAAACAAAACATACATTTTTCAATATTATGCAGCAAAATTGTTTGTATGAAACTGACAATCCACTTCTAGGATGTAACCTGAAGTCACTGATCTCATACTCTGATGATCTGTGGTAAATAATGTAGTGTCACAAGTCCAGCTCTCACCACAGTCAAAACAGCTTTCTCCCATACCTGTGTGAGTGGGATAGCACTAATATACATATTAAATAGGCGACAGACATATGTATTCACTGAAATTAGGAGATGATGTGATCAGGCAAACTCCAACAAATCTTAAATACATGTATGTGATGTCTCCCTATTTTGTAGGAATTTCCCTATTTACTCCGAAATAACATGATGAAAACGTATCTATAAATATCAGTAAGTGAATTTCTTGGTTGGAAAGCACTGGATCAGTAACAATTATAAAAACAAGTTTTAATTTATGAATACTTCAAAATTAAAGATCAACAGGCCAAAGGCCCTGTGAAATATAAGGTTGTGAGATATATCATTTCTTATTTTCTTACTTTCACATTTTAGAGGACAATTCCATGTCATATTGAGTCCTTGTTATTAAAAAGGTCCTGGTCTCCAAATTCTGTTTTTTAAAAATTTGTTTAATGATGAGTTATCATAGTCCTCTTTAAAAACAGAAATTTTTTGGCCCTCTTTTATTTCTTGGTCATTTAACCCTTGGACAAAAGGACATTTTCAACACTGTTAAAAACTCAAGTAAATATATGTTTATAGTTATGTAGCGTTAAAACCATTGAAGGGCGACTTTAACAATGAATTTTTTCTCAAAGACCAGTCGGCAAAATTATTATGATTTATAGTAGAATGTAATTCCTATTAACAGCACTAAAAATGTTCATATACACAAAATAGTGCCAATACTTTCAACCTCAACAAATCTGTCTCTAACTAATTGTTAGCATAAACAAAATAACTGACTAGTTAATAACGGAAATCAAATCAAATGGAAACTCACTTCGTTTGGGACATCATCAACTTGTTTTTGCCCCTGGTACCTTAATTAAGTCTAGTACCTATGTTAAGTACAGTACATTTCTTTCCTAAGTCTAGATACTGCCTGTACTCCAACAAGTTTGTGTCAAATAATATGATTGCACGACTTTTTAACACTCATAGGTCCACTCACCCTAGACAGATAAATAATAGATATACTCTTTCGTTAAAATTACATTTAAGTTATTTAACTAAATTGAAATCAAATTTGTATATTACACTTTCATTTTGTACTTAACAGAAATGGCAAAAATGTACAGCTGTTTTTACCTATTCTTATTGACCACAGTTCTGATTTATTTTATGAACTGATAGAATAGTTTCAAATACAGCTGAATTAGTAAAGTGGTGTTATCAACATATTTTGAACAGCTCCCGGTACATATCTAAGGTCTGTCTGTTTATCAGTATCAAACTGCCCAGGCCCCTGTGATATCAATACATAGTGTTGTGTGGGCTAAGTATTAACATGATTTACTGGATACTGTAAAAGTCTACACGATTTTCTATGCAATCCAATGTCTTCCAGTATAATTGCCGACACAAACATTTCTCTACCATGATTAGCTTGAAGATCGAAACATGAATACTTCCACTTTTACTAATGCACAATTTATTTGTGAAATATAAAGAATAAGATGGACGAAGTGTTTACCTATTAATCTGAGTCATGATGTACAATACTAAACCCTCGTAACGATTACAACATAATGTAAACACTGACATGTATGTTAACAGGAGGGGTGTCCACACTCAGCATTAAACAATGTTACTAAACCCTCGTAACGATTACAACATAATGTGAGTACTGACATGTATGTTAACAGGAGGGGTGTTCACACTCAGCATTAAACAATGTTACTAAACCATCATAACGATTACAACATGATGTAAACACTGACATGTATGTTAACAGGAGGGGTGTTCACTCTCAGCATTAAACAATGTTACTAAACCATCATAACGATTACAACATAATGTAAACACTGACATGTATGTTAACAGGACGGGTGTCCACACTCAATCTGCATTAAACAATGTTACTAAACCATCATAACGATTACAACATGATGTAAACACTGACATGTATGTTAACAGGACGGGTGTCCACACTCAATCAGCATTAAAAAGTGAGTCAATATAAAGAAAATCTCCAGAAATCTCCACACATGCAGCATCAGCCAATTTCTCAGAGTCGCGTAGCCTCCGCTTAACCAACACCAATAATGCATCCAATATCAGGTCCGATATCTTCAGACGACTGTTTGAGTGAAAGAAAGTAATATTTCAAAACGAATGTTATATTTTTTTTTCTCTTGAATTCAATCTCACAGAATACTTTTGATCATATTTCTGATCCACCTTTACTGATCTTGCACTGTCTATGTCTCACTGTTATAAAACTCTCAAAATGCCATTCCTATCAAGAAACCACCAGCAAATCCAGTTCCAAGAAATATGTTCTGTTTGAAGAAGGTCTGCATCTGGAAGGACAAGAGAGAGTTTGTAAGACATAATTACAGAAAAATAATTAATATAGATTTAGAGTTAAATTGAACATTTTTGATTATCTGAAAACTCATCCTCAATACTCCAGGGGTTATGTTCACTTATGTTTTCTGCACTATTGAAGTCTCTGTGTGTGAATGATACAAGTTAAACCAGTTTAATCTTTAGATGTACATCAAAAGATCTACACAGCAGTGTACAATTGACTGGCTTTGAAGATCTACACAGCAGTGTACAATTGACTGGCTTTGAAGATCTACACAGCAGTGTACAATTGACTGGCTTTGAAGATCTACACAGCAGTGTACAATTGACTGGCTTTGAAGATCTACACAGCAGTGTACAATTGACTGGCTTTGAAGATCTACACAGCAGTGTACAATTGACTGGCTTTGAAGATCTACACAGCAGTGTACAATTGACTGGCTTTGAAGATCTACACAGCAGTGTACAATTGACTGGCTTTGAAGATCTACACAGCAGTGTACAATTGACTGGCTTTGAAGATCTACACAGCAGTGTACAATTGACTGGCTTTGAAGATCTACACAGCAGTGTACAATTGACTGGCTTTGAAGATCTACACAGCAGTGTACAATTGACTGGCTTTGAAGTCAGGGTGTCTCTCCTCTGTAATCTTTAAAGTACAGGTATCGGCCTAGCGATTGGTCAGTTTTTTTTACCTGAAACCAAAAATTACTAATTCCATGCCTTCAATTTTGCCATGACATATTCCAGGAGTGCAGACAGCGCAAGTAAGCGTATCCCCTGGAATACTGAGGATGTTGAAAATTAGAAGGAACTCAAAACATTGGTATTGAGAATATCCTATTTATCTGCTAGGATAATACAATCTTGTATCTGTGTCCAGACATGAAATCTAACAAAATTAAGTTATTTACATGTTGTAATTTCGACAAGTTGCGATTGGCCTCCCTCCTAATTTCACGTCTGGCCCGATTCGCCTCTCGTTCCACCCTTGACCAATTAATTTGAAGGTAGCCTTGATGCTGTGCAATCTAAATAGAGAAATACAAACATATATATACATATAAAAATAGAACAAAGAAACAGATAGTTACGTTTTGGGAGTAGTGAGGGTATTTCTTTGAGATTTCCTTGGACATTTGGTTTTTGGCAAGATTCATTTCCTTCTGCACTTTCTTCCAATCTATCTTTATATAACCTTTATATTGTGCAATCTGTGCGAAAAGATAAAGACAGAGAGAATTATTGATATCTTTAGTATCACACTACAAAAGATATACTATTTGCAGTTATTGCAACTTTTATGTTGTCTTTTAACTCATTCACCCCTGAAGACACATTTTAACTCTTTCAATTCAATGGTTGGAATAGTTCAATATGAAATTTCAGGGGTGAATGAGTTACTTCATACTTGTAAAGGCCTGTCAAGTAACCTACATCATGATGATAAGACCCTGAAACAGATGTCATTACCCATGAACTTATGTATCTCCCTTGACCATTTGAATATCAAACATTTTTAGTTATTGACCTGCATGCCCTAAAAATGCCATGCCCCTAGTCTAGCATCATCACACATGTAGTATTTCTGAGAAATCATCAGTGTTTTACATTGCTCAGTATTTTGTTGTTCACAGAAGCCAGAATCAGAGCTTTTCATGTTAGTTGGCATTGACATGTTAATTTGATGCTTAAAGGTAAGATAGAAGTGACAAGTATGCTTACTGCTTAAAACTATGACAAAGACTTTTTCTGTGGATCACCGATGACTGTGATGTCATAATACTTACTAGATTGATAATGTGATCTTTTGTTGAGTCCAATTATCTGTTGACTACCAGTAATGAGCATTACTGTCTGTATAAGTTATATATAGGGTATGACTACGTTTACAGTATTGTTTCAGTCCAGGTTTGACCTTTACCTGTACAAGTATTATTGTTGTTCCTAGGGTGGCAGCAGCTATCTTTCCCACCTTCACAAACAAATATCCCGATATCCTAGGAACAAAATATCATCAATTAGACACCTTTCTTCTTTAACAATTAGTAATACATGTTTATACCAGTACTTAAAAATAGTTTGAAAATATTTCAATACTATTAAATCACTCAATTACCTGGTACGTGAGGAGTTTGCAGTTATAATCAAAACGTAGTTAAATTTCAAAGCCAATCACCATTTCATTCAACTTGAAGTATTTCATTTTTTTTCAAAAGAAAGAAGACGAAGCAAGAAAAACAAGTTTTTCTGCCATAGAGTTACCTGTCAAGAAATTAATCTCTTGTTTTAATAACTAAATAGCAAAATTGGTCAAGATTAGGGTTAGGGTTGATAGAGGAATGTTCCATGTTGATCGCCTGTAGTTTCTGACAATTGAGCAACACTTATTCCCTACCAGTGTAATAGGAATGAGAAACAGTAATATGTGCTTCCACTGGAGGTCAAACAAGTGAACTCAGAACTTCTAATCCAACCTTTACAACTGAACTATTAACAGAGATATTTTATTTAGCCAGTGACTTAGTCATTATGATTATGTACATTGTGCTTTTTTATACCACTACCAGTTATAATTATTTTTTATATGCATGTATATAAACTTTATTTACTTTACAACAATTATGAAACAAGTTTTCACAACTTATATTAATCACTCTTGTTGGCCTGGATATTAGCACCCGGAGGTCTTACTGTGGGAGGAAACCGGAGTACCTGGAGAAAACTCACGTGGTCGGGCAGATGACCCCATACCTTTTCACGTCCGATCGGGGAATTGAACCCCTGCCGCCTTGGTGAAAGGCAAGTGTGCTATCCACTGTGCCACCCGAACACCCCTAGTTTTTATACCAGTCAATACAAGCATCCAAAATTTTCATAACAAAACTGAAAACCTTTTGGTTTCCAATTGTTTTTAAATTGGAAATGCATTATAAATTATCCACTTGACTCTGGATTAGGGCATAGCTTTAGGTTCTGAATTGGAGCTTATAGATTTCAGTTTTATGCTTGGGATGGGTTTAGGATATGGCCACGGTTTTGTAGCGGATTTAGTGTTAGTCCTCGGATTTTGATTTGTTTTAAGTTGGTTTTATAGTTTTGGTTTAGAGTAAGGACAAAAGAGACATGTTGATACCTTAATCACACATAACTCTTGCCCGACACACTATATCTGCTATAGAGTAATATATGGCAACCAGTCAAAATCTGCTTCACAACATAAACTTAGATACAAACCATCCTGTAGCTCCTCCGATAGCAACTTGCTTCGCTGCGGACTGTCTTGATATGTCTCCAAACACACTCTGTATCCAGCTGTTACCTCTTCGGATTGCATCTAGGTCTAGGACCTCAAACGGTTCATTGTCGTTTGCCATCTTCTTTCAGTCTTGTTTTGTCCTTTACTGAAGTTCAATGAAATAAAATAAAAAAATGTATAATGTTTTTTTCTTTATTATCCCCTATAGTTATGAAAATGTTATTGTAAACAGTAAATTAAGTGTTGACTTGTGCCCAACCTCAACTTGACCTTAGGCTTTGCTAAAGTTTGAAAAGTTTCGAACCATTGAACAACTTAACCAGCCTCAGCCAAGTAACTTCATTTCACATAATACGAAAGAAAACATAAATCGTTCGTCTGCTCATTCGTCATCTTCTTTCACCTGCTGAATGTCAAATGGTCTATTTCGTCATTGCATGACGTGACACAGTCATTATCTGTCTATTTTTATAGACATAACGAATTCATTTTTCACCAATATCCAAATATCAACACAACAATATTGATTATACGAATTGATGCTTTCAAAGACTATATTGTAAAGAGTTAAGCCTACCTTATCCGCATGTGTATCTCCTCGTATCGCTTCGCCACAAACTCCTCGCAAACTTAATTGTTTAGTTTCGTTTCAGTCTCATTCCAAACCAGTTGTACTATTTTACGGAATGCAGCTTCACCAATAAATATTTTCATATTGGTTTATATGTCATTTACAACACTTAATGTTGAGAAAATAAATCAAGTTATTATACACAATTACATTTGGTTTTTAAAGGCGATATCTTACATTGAATATTTGGATTTAATATGCTACATTTCGTATTTTATAAAGTTTTGTGAAATTGGTTAATTAAATTAACCGAAGAGTATTTGTAACAAGAGATTTCATTGGCTGATCGAAACTAGGTCACTAGGTCCTTTTCTCTGGCATCTTTGTAAAGAGAGACGGAAAATGCCTGTTTCACCTACGTTTTATACAGTTTAAAACCGGCTGTGTATCCCTCGAGAAGCACTGTTATTTGCAATTATCGGAGAGATTTGCCAGATAGTTTGCGACCATGAATCTCGAAGGAATGGAGATAGTCCTCCAAATTGAAGAAAAGAAGCAACTTACAGAGTTTGATAGGTTAGCCATCATTTTAACTGATGTACTGAGTAACTTTATTTTTAGTACAACATATTTGTTTTAGTTGAACTGAAAAGAAATCATATAACATTGTTGACAATCAAATTGCATTTTAGAACTAAGAAAGTATGAAGAACTTGTAACGAAATTAAATTAGACCTACTTAGACCGACTGAATTTGTCAGTAAAGTATATGGACATCAGTATTCTCACCTTTATAGTTTCAACATACCCATGGTAGTTGGGTCCATATATGTATTGTACTAAATTGTTCTATACTAAACAATTTCATGTTTATCTAACCATTTCATATGTTTGATGTTTCTCAATAAGACCACTTTGTTGTGCCTAACTTTTTTTTTGTTAAAAGGCAATTATTTTTTTTTACCACAGATTTATTTACAAACAAATGTTTTCAGATTAATTACCACCAACATAAAAACTCTACTAATTATTTTTTTAGAGTTATTTCTTGTTTATACTCATCTTGTACTATTGCAACAAACAACTGTGTTCGCTTCATATACACCACTTACGTATGTGGAATGTATATGAACCAAACTCTTGGCTAATAAATATGGAAACAACATGCGTTAGACTGTCGAGCTCCATGTTGCTGTTGCATATACCTTTCTATTGTTGTACGCTGAGCTGTTTAAAGTCAACTGCTGGTACATTGTTCTTATTCTTATTTTACAGTCGACTGTTTGGCTTCTTGAAGTTTAACACAACAGATGGAGCTCCAAAGAAAAGTTTGCTGGAAAAGGTAAATTAATTGTCATAATCTGAGAAAAAGTGTCTTGGTAGGGGAAACAAAAAATAGGCAAGTAATATGTAAAACAATTCACAAAAGTGGAATTGTACATGCTACATACAAATGATATGCATTTTAAAACCAAGTAACATTGATACATACTGCTGCCAATGTAAAAATGTCCACATGGTAAGATTCCTTACCATCATCAACCCTTTCTGCCACCCAGAAGAAACCCCAGAACACCATATCTTTAGTCAGAAAAAAAGTTACCCCCCTAAACAACAATTCTAACCTACCTGACAACTGTTGTTCTGTTAATAACGCCACTTTTGCATTTCAAGTTGACATTTGTCTTTTTATCTTTTAGCTTATTTGATATCATTTCCTTTTGCATGTTTATCTCCCTTTTATTGACCCTAAAGACCTCTTCTGTGTTGATGGGCCATTAAGAACTAAATAAAAAAAGTTACCTCCCTTTACAGAAAGAGTCTAAATGTAGCACAAATGTCTGCTGTACTTGTGTGCATAAATATATGTGTTATATTACTATTTAAAATTTATAGTAGACATGAATATAGTTTTCCTTTATATTTATTGAGGTAGAAAACAGTCAGATTTCTCTGTTATGTAATGATGTTAATTATACTGTATGAGAAATCAATGTTACCTGTACATTGGCACTGCTCACAATACTACTATTGAATGATAATAGCTGTGTTCACTGGTCCCACTTTGCACAAAAGTCCTAACCTTCAATAAGCTGGTGCATTTCTTGTCTGCTCAATATGAAGAAATGAACAGCTCCCACTATACTAGGGAAATACAGGGAGATATTCAGTCTCCTCTCATCTCTTTGACAGATAACTCAAAATTGGAATTAGCAATGGTCTTCATGACCTTCATATCAAAGGGAGGAATTACAATCATATTAATAGAAATAAGTTTATAAGCTTATTTAGAACTCCAAAACCTGAATTTCTTAGTTGTACTCTAACATGAAGCAAACAAGTCCTCCACATATACCCATCCTTGCTGTTCTCACACGTTTGGATTTGCCACTAACATAGTACTTGTGTTGTCATTTGAAAAGAATTCAGGACAAATTTGGTCCCCTAACATTATGTAAGAATGTTTAACTCCAAACAAAAAAGTTGAGATAGAAAGAGGTGAGCTATACCGACCCACAGACCTCTTGTTTTTTGTTGTCAAGGGTTATGTTCTAATAGTTCTCAGTGCAAATGGTAGATAACTGCTTTTAAAAGGGAAGGATGCTGGAATTTTGGCTGCTTCTATTTGTATATAATATAAAGGAGCACATGTTCTGACCAGGTTACGCTTCAGAAGAGGTGTAAGTGAGAATGCACTGATAGATTTTGTACTTTACTTCACAGGGTATAAAGTTCTTTGAGCAGGTGATACGAGAGAATGCCAAGCAAAACCAGGCGAGTGGTTTAGAGGGAGGGGAGAAGGACAGTGGAGTAGACACCACTATCTACTGTCAACTAGGTCACCTTCTCCTGTTGTTGGAACAGTACCCCAAAGGTTTGTTCTCCTATACCAAACTGTCTTACCTTTTTGTTTGGCCCTATACCCCCCCATGGGATTTATGCAATTGTAACTGTCAAATCCACCCCATCAAAATTTGTTGCTTATTTTTTTTAAGGAGGATAATTATTGAAATCCTTGCAATGAAATCTTTTAACTGATTATGCATGAATAGAAAATATCAACCATGCTTTGAAAATAAGTTAAAAATATATGTCATGAAACATCTTTTCATAACAGGGATGCCCTTGGGGCTAATCTACCTAAGATTCCCCTATCCTTTAAAGTGAAATAGAACTAATACATATAAAAGTAAGACTTTTTTTATTTGTGAAATGTTACCCAACAAGTAAGAGTTAATTCCCTTTATTCATAATTTAATGCTGGGCTTGATAAAATTGACTGCATGCATATGTTGTCTAGGTAATCTTAAAAATCTCTTTCTCAACTCAAAACACTCTATTTTGACAAAATAAGGATATTGTTGTGAAAATGCACTTGTAAAGTGGCCAAGCCGACTTCTCTGTAAGCTTGGTGAGCAGGTCGACTCGGCCGAAGGTGATGAGCTGTCGTGCGTGACAAAACCGATTGTAGTCTACACTTGGTCAAGCCGCTATACAGACATATTTCGCGTACTGTTGGTCTGATCGTAGATTACACTCACCGTTGCAGGCTAACCTCATAACTCACATTCATATTACTTGTAGCTTCTTACTACAATATTACAACATTTGATGTGAAATATTTCCTTTTATTTTCCTTCCTGAGTAAAAAAAAATAGCTACTACAATAGTAGTTTTTAGCTCACCTGGCACGAAGTGCCAAGTGAGCTTATGCCGTCGCGCGGCGTCCGTCGTCCATCCGTCCGGCGTCCGGCGTCAATATTTTACTTTAAGCGACTTCTTCTTAATAACCGAAAGGCCTAGGGTGTCGATATTTGGCCAGAAGCAAACTTGGATGAAGGGCTACAAAGTTTGTTAAAATTAATGACCTTCACCTATTTTCAAGGTCACAGGGGTCAAATACGTCAAAAACTTTAAAATCTTCTTCTCAATAACCAAAATGCCCAGGGAGGTGATATTTGGCCAGTAGCATGCTTGGGTGAATGGCTAACAAGTTTGTTCAAATGAATGACCTTCAATTATATTCAAGGTCACAGGGGTCAATTGTATTAAAAAACCTTTAAACAACTTCTTCTGAATAACCAAAATGCTCAGGGTGATGGTATTTGGCCAGTAGCATGCTGAGATGAAGGGCTACAAAGTTTGTTCAAATAAATGACCTTCACCTATTTTGAAGGTGACAGGGGTCAAATATGTTAAAAACTTTGAACAACTTCTTCTGAATAACCACAATGCCCAGGGTGATGATATTTGGCAAGTAGCATGCTGAGATAAGGGGTTACCAAGTTTGTTCAAATGAATGACCTTTACTTATATTCAAGGTCACAGGGGTCAAATATGCTTAAAACCTTTAAACAACTTCTTCTCAATAACCAAAAGGCCTAGTATGATGCTATTTGGCCAGTAGCATGCTGTGATGAAGGGCAACCAAGTTTGTTCCAATGAATGACCTTGACCTTTGCCTGTAGCTTTATCTTAGTCCACTTTTAATATTTAAGATTACAATTGTGAGATTAATACCAGGTGAGCGATGCAGGCCCATTGGGCCTCTTGTTGTTCAGTTAGGTCAAGGCCATTCATAGAAGGGACAATCTCAATCTTCCAATGAATACACTTTTAAGAAAGAGTTGCATTTTTAGCTCACCTGGTACGGAGTGCCAAGTGAGCTTATGCCGTGGCGCGGCGACCGGCGTCCGTCCGTCCAGCGTCAATATTTTACTTTAAACAACTTCTTCTCAATAACCAAAAGGCCTATGATGATGATATTTGGCCAGTAGCATGTTGGGGTAAAGGGCTACAAAGTTTGTTAAATAAATGACCTTCACCTATATTCAAGGTCACAGGGGTAAAATATGTGGAAAAACATTAAACAACTTCTGAATAACCAAAATGCTCAGGGTGATGGTATTTGGCCAGTAGCATGCTGAGATAAAGGGCTGCAAAGTTTGTTGAAATAAATGACCTCATCTATATTCAAGGGCACAGGGGTCAAATATGCTTAAAACCTTTAAACTACTTCTTCTCAATAACCAAAATGCCCAGGGTAATGATATTTGGCCAGTAGCAAGCTGAGATGAAGGGCTACAAAGGTTGTTCAAATGAA